GGACAATTTTCGAAGTTCGATAATGAGGGAAATCAAAGAAACGCTAATCGAAGATAAATTTGCATTCGGTAACAAAGAACTTTTTACGATACTAAACATCTTTGCTACTCATTTGCAGAAGTAACAGGCAAATAAATACGTAAAAAGTAAAAATGTAAACGCATAAAGGCGAGATGCAGCAATAAAATGCTGTTGTTGAAACCTAACCTAGCATATTCTGCTGCAGGAACGCGCGAAATTTCACACTCTTTTGTTTCGTATTTTATGTATTGGTGCGCCGTTTTTAAAACGTCGTGTCGTTATACCAGTGGAAACATTTGTTGCAATTAGATTATGGATATATATAAAAAATAAAAGTAAATGGAGTAGCGTAGTATATTAACGTTAAAGTGTACTGCAGTATTTTTAGGTATTATAGACAGGTAACAAGGGGAGATCATCGTAGCATAGTTGGAAGATCGTTAGTCTGCTAACCCGAAGGTCCTCGGTTCGAATCTCGTCAGAATCGAGTTTTCCCTCGCACGATGATTCTCGTCATTTTTCTTCGACTTTTCACGCAAGATTAATCTTGTTGCACGCATCTATAACCATTGCATGCAACTTATTAAACTAACTTGCAAGAGTAAAATAATTTGGGGTCAATGAGCCGTTCTTAAAAGATTACCATTTAGAATGGTCAAGCATAACCCGAACACTTTTTTCCAACGCATTTATCCGCGTTATTTGTGAAGCTCCATAAGTCACGTAATATAGAAAGTGTAATATATAAAATGGTCGTTTAAAAATTTGAACAACTGTATTGCTCAAAAATAATTGGAAGATGGGCTAGATAAGTGACTTACTTTCTCGGTCAGTAAGGCATTCAATACTTTAAAAGCTTCAGCATGCTGGACGAGTGAGATATTCAGTCAAAATATTACTGTATTAGATGTACAGTATACCTCTGCCATTTGCCAAATTATGAACTCGTGTATTTGCGGATAAAAATACTGGTTGCCTGGTACAAAAAATTAGTAGTCATTCCATCCGACATTATTAATTATAGCTGAAAACTTTTTTCTTTATTTTAAGGCCAATACCTTACAATGTTACCACGACATAACCTCACTTTCAGTTCTGCATTAATTTACAAGCTTTTAATCTTACATTTCGAATGTGCTGGTTTGAGAGTGAATTTAGACAACTGATCGAACTTATGTATTATTTTATTTAGAGTACATGCAATTTACAACATAGAGAAACTCATTCGCTTCGTGTTGATTGTAATTTGCAATGCAAATCTTTTGCCTCTGTTTAGATTTAATCTTTTGTTAATTGCTTGAAAAGAGCAAACTCCCCCAACGGAAACGTCGCATTTATTATTACAATTTTACCAAGTATTGTTGTTATATTATAGTAAGGGTTTTCATGTAAAGCTCCCTCTGTCGGAACAAGTCAAATATTATTATTCAAAGCTAGCTTTGTATCAAAGAGCAACTCTCTACTGCTTTTAAGACAGTTACTTTTTAAAAAACGACCTTACAACTACTTTTAATTGAACTTTCAAAACAAACAAAAAAATAGCAACTGGAGAATTTTCTGAGAACTTTCGCAGCGTATGCAGATTCGAAAAATAGGGTAGTTAGACAACGGCGCTATATGAATAAAGATGAAAACATACACCGTTGCCTGGGAATACCATTTTTTCAAATTTGTTGCGTTTTATCGCTTGATAATTGTTTAATCGCTTTATATTTGGCAACCAATGTAAATGCATTCTGTCAAATAAAACTAAAAAAATTCCTTTTTCTTTTTTCATAATTAATTTATTTATAGCAAACGATACTGTAAAAATTAGAAATACGTGTAAAGTGTTCCGACGGTACTGGTAATCAAAGGACGAACACCGTTTAATTGACTGCAGACATTTTCTAAATCGGCACACAATCAGGTTAATTTCGTTTGCGTCCAATGAATAAATAAATATTTGATTTACCAGAAACTAAACCATCGATAGTTTCGAACGGCGCGAGCCCAACGGCGACGTATTAAATGCATATGTAATAACGTGCATAATACTCGATAAATGGCGTTAAACGTGGCTGCGCAAATGGAACTATACAGGACAATAAAGGATCCGTTATAGGCAGTCAACTTTACGGTCATCTGCGTATCGCAGCTTTATTGCAGACGCCGGAAAAGTCTGTCTACTTGTGTCCGTGACACATATTCGCACGCGAGCGGCCATTTTACCATCCGTACTTTTGAACCAGTTTTCAAATACACTTTCTAGAGCGTGGATGATATTTAATCATTTTCCTATACCCGTTGCGCGAACGGCGTATAAAGTGCCATCGACTGAGTGTACAGAATGCTGAAAACAATCGATAATTTCTTGTACGTTGAACAAACGTACCTCGCGATCCCTGACTTGTTCCATTGAAACCGTCATACACGACGTGCATATGTTTCCCTGTTTGTTTCCGTTCAAATGTGATACCCATTCGAATTGCATTAATCTGTAAATCAATTTTGCCTACAGGGTGTTTCGGAAAAAATGTAAGTTTTGGGGCTCGTACTTTTGTCTCGATAATTATTGTAATTGAAGGTTAGGTCGAAACATAATTGTGACCGAATTGCATTAATCTGTAAATCAATTTCGCCTACAGGGTGTTTCGGAAAAAATGTAAGTTCTAGGGCTCGTACTTTTGTCTCGATAATTATTGTAATTAAAGGTTAGGTCGAAACATAATTGTGACCGAATTGCATTAATCTGTAAATCAATTTCGCCTACAGGGTGTTTCGGAAAAAATGTAAGTTTTGGGGCTCCTACTTTTGACTCGATAATTATTTTAATTGGAGGTTAGGTCGAAACATAATTTATAATCTCGCAAAATCCGAATCCGAAATTCAAAACTTTAAATCTAAATGCCTTGATAAAAACCATAGATCAATTATTTTTTTAAATATTTTTGTCATTTTTTAGAATTTTTCTAATCTTCGATGCAGGATTTGGCGTGTCTGTGCGATTTGTTCCCATTCCAGTGCAAATTTTAGCTCCTCGATGGAAAGAAATGCGTAGCCTTTATCACTGACCGCATTCTTGTAGTGTTTGTCTCCCCACGAATGCATATTTTTAGCAGAACTAATTTGTCGTAGTACGCTTCACGAATGCACGGATATCCGGCCGATCGCCATGGATTCCATCTGCCTTATCGTTTATAGTCTAAACAAGTATTATTTTAAGACATACGTTCATTAAATTTTTGTTACTTGTCTAACCCTAGAACTCTAGCAATTTTACTAAATTTGAATGAATTTCTAATAATATTACTTTCCGACTCGTTCAATAAATTCTAATTCAAAACTATTTCTAGATCTTATTTCCTTTCGATAAAATAGACGTGGTATATTGTATATTGTCAGCTTGATTTTCTTCCTCTTCAGGACCGAACAAATATCGGGGGAAATAGAAATCGTAGTAAGCAATGTCCTTTCACAAGTGTGTTCCGACGTTTCGTCAACATTACAGCTATTGTTAGAAGCTGAAAAGATCTGTTTCGAAGGGTGCCAAGAGATGTAAAAGTAACGTATCTCGCTTTCTTCTGTGTATCATGTTTCATTATGCCTAGTAGTTGTGTGCTAGGAACGAGTCTGACGATAAGTTCAACACTGACAATTACACTCTTTGTAATAATTACTTAGCAGTGTACATTACGAAATGGGCATTGTTAATGTTTATGCGATAGATGTGAAAGAATCTCCAAGGAAATTCAACTTACTCGTATAAAAGTAGGAGGTTTAAGCTTTAACATAACCTCAAAAAGATTATTCATGCTTAAAGTTATGGAAATCGTAACTATTATCTTTTAGCAATTTATATTGACTTTGACTTTGATTAATGTATTGATACGAATGCATATTCTAATTTGTAAGAAAGAAGAAGTGTTAATAATTGTAGCTGCTAAATCCGATAGCAATTTGAATGAATTAAAAACTACAATAGTCATGTTTCGAAGGAAAGATACACAATAACACATCGAAGCTTTCATTACTATTTTGCTTGTCATCAGAGACGTATCTCCAATAAATCATTCGTCGACAAATCTTTGTATATTGGACGAATTGCCTCTTGTACCCTATCATTAAGAGGAGGTTCGTGAGAGAGCTCGTGAAGCTTTCCATCGACCTCCACGCGACGCCACTTACACCATCTATCTTTTCCGGTAGGACAATAGGACCAACTTTTCGTCTCTGTTCAGCTTTACTCAAAGTATCGTAACTCCCTCAGCTTTACGAATTCCTCGATAGAATTTTACAAACATACTTTAAAGACTATACAACAAAAAAATACATATGATTTCCCGAAACATCTAAAAGAACGATTCGCAAATTGTTTTGGAAGAAACACTCCCGTTAAAAGAGAAAATTTGTACGCCCTACATAAATGGTAATTAAACTTCAACGGTTGTTAAACTTTGATAGCTAAGACAATCTTATCAGCTTATTCTGATATCGAGCAAGCAGTTCACTCAGCCATTGGAAAGAGGATGTACAATTAAATAATATTTAATCCCCGGATGACAGACTCCCGGGAGTCCATTTTGACCCTAACCTCAATTTCATTACATCGCGTTCCGACACAAGGATTCTGATCAAACTTTCCCCATTGTTGTATTTGTAAATTCTTTATTTATCGATGTCGTTAATTTTACAAGCTCGTTCAATGTTTACATTATTATTAAAAACCAGAACTTCGCTACTCCGAAAGATGTTAAAAATGTTGGCGATTTTGATCGATGCGCGTAGTCTAGGAACGAGTACCGGCTTTACTGGTTCACGCGGGCACGCGAGGGTTAGGGTTTAAGGGATAAAGGCGGTTAGAAAATAGAAACGGAAAAGACGAGCACAGGGAATCACGTAGAAGGCGCACCGGTCGTGCCAAACGTCGTGTCCTCGACCAATCGTTAATTCCTCCATCGCGAAGCTTGTAACGCAATGCTGTTGTGTGACGATCGAAGGTGAAGGACTGCGACGAGGCCGACAAAGTCTCGGCACCGTGTACGACGAAATCGGACGCCGAGGGTAGCCGAAAAGGATCAACGACCGCGGCGTCGGTATGCAACGACGAGGAAAATGGCAGCAGCGCGCGGAAGAAAAAGAAGAAACGCCGGAAAACGCGTAACAAGCAGCAGCTGCAGCTGCATCATCTATCGCAGGGATCACCGGACGGCAATCAGCACCCGCACACGGTGGTGAACCTGCCCTCGTCGTCGGACGAGGTCGAGGCGGTCGGCGAATGCTCGAAACGAGATTCGTCGAGCAGTTTGGGCGGAGCCAGTCGCCACAACACCCTACGGGAATCTTTGCTCACGGTGCTGGGTAAGCTGGTGATCTGGAAAGGCACCAGATACCGCTCGGCCACTGCTGCGTCCTCTTCGTCGTCGGCGCCGCCGAATTCACCACCCGCTACCGAGTGTATCGGCCGTAGCACATCCTTTTTTTCCAGCGGTGAGTCTCTCGTCCGCAATTCCCTTTCGTCAACGGTTACAGATCCTCGTCTGCAAAACTCGTCTCTTCTCTCGTCTGTTCTTTCCAATCGCAAAAACGTGTGATCCACAATTTGTGGGATAAACATGCTAGTACCATTCTTCCACGCGAAGAGGGCACATCGTGTACAGCGTCTCCATTTCTGTTGCAATCCGCTGACTCGCAGGTATTAGTAGAAAACGGTGACGAAGATCGGTGGTAGCCAATCAGCGGGCTGCAGCAAGAGTGGAGATGTAAACCCACTGTGTTCTTCTTCACATGGAAGGACTATAGTCGGCTATACAAGCTAAATTTGGTAGTTCGTTTAATAATAAGAGGCCGACTACTGGCACATTTACCCTACCACCCAAAACGAGCGGTAGTTTCATGAATTTTGTACAGGAAATGTATGCGTTCAGTCGAAATGACCTATTTATTATCTATTAACACGTTGACTGCCACGCGCATTTTTAAGTCGACTGCCGGCCACCGGTGACCCCCACGGCAGTCAACGTGTTAAGCGTTTCTAGAATATTTGAAGACAATTTTTGTTAAACGTCTATGTCTCTTTATAACGCAGAAGATTGGCTTTACAGTAATGATTCGTAAGTCGAACGTTTCTAACCTTCCCAAGTGGGGAGATCCCCCTTGGAATCGGTGAAGCGTGAAAGGCGACGTTTAAGAAACGATACGAGCCAAGGTGCCCCGGCGACGATTTGTATACAAAAGACACAACGCTTTTTTCTCATTTGTTCTCCTTTGCTCGCTGTCTTTTTCGTCGAGACTATGGCCCTGGGCAAAAGATAAAGGCGACTCCGAGGCTCAACGATATCGCCACGTATAAATAGCTGCTGGTGTCGAATTTCGCCATTTCGACTGAACGCACACAGCTCCTGCGAAAGAATCGTGAATGTACCGTTCGTCTTGGGTACACCTGTACTTTAGTACGCGTCCAAAATCACGATCCAGTATGCATATTCCTCTAAAGCATGTTCCTGGGTTCGTCTCATAAACCCCTGCTTACAGAAGACCCTTTAGGAGGTATTAACAGACTATTTTGTAGGGCACATCTACTTCATACTGTTTAAATGCCACGTTCGTGTCGGAAGGTTAATACCAAGCACGCGTTGTCCTCAAACTGTTCGAACGAATACGCGGCTTAACAATGTTCGTTTAAATTTAAGTAAATCGGGAGTTGGCGTTACAATTATGTAGAGCTCTCGAAAGAGAATAGGTTAGAAAGTAATAGAGTAATGCGCGGTTAACTTTCTCTCTAATTCACACGTACATCGAAAGAAATTTTGTTATAACAAGTTCGACCGTGTATCGAATAAATACAATAGACATTTATTTATCATTTCTAATAAATTCACGTAATTTAAGCGAAAGTATCCATTTCGAAATGTTGTGTTTCTCGTATCCTCGGAGAAACCAATTGCAATAATGGCGAAATATTGAAATTAGCTACGAAAAGAACGCAGCTTACGTAAGAAGAGCTTTAATGCACGGTTTCGGTTGCAAGAAACAGGAGTACGAAAGCTATAAAGATATTGTATCCTATTATGCTACGAATGGCCGCTTGTTATTCGTGCAAAAGGAACACATAATTGCGTAGGAAATTTCCGTCAACGTTGTGATCAGATAATGTCCGCGGTAACGGCCCAAGGTTGCAGCATTCGCGGATTTTAACATCCATTTAGATGAAACTGTTACGATAATGCACGAATGCCGGAGAAAAACTAGCGCATCAGTCTACTCGGATGCGTCTACATAATTTTGTGATCCATTTTGTTCGTAAAATGCAACCTCCGTTATGTAACTCGGTTGACCACATTTGCGCGAATAAGTTCGCTTTACTTGTTTCGACTCGGCATTATTTATCAGATTTCAACCGCGCGGCTACACGCGACACAAACTTTTCTTTTTTTTTTGTAACACTGCCATTTCAAGTAAATTTACAAATGTAAACAACATATATGGAATTTGGCTTCGATTTTTTACCAATATATTCCAAATAATTTATAATTCAGAAAACGTCCAAAATAAAAGCGTACTTTTATTTCACATAATATTTTCTCTATTTAAAAGTAAAGAACACGACTGTATTCGATTGTTCTTAACTTGTCATTTATTACCATTCCATGACAGTGGGCATGCACTGTTATTTAGTTTTACTGCTAGTGTAGTTTGCAGAGAAATTCTATAACCGCTTCTTTTACGCATAATAATTGATACTTCCGGTATCTTTCGTGGGGCGCATTCTAGTCGCATTGCAATGGAAAATTACTGAATTATTGTACACGTAAACTTAGCATTCTGAAAAAAAAAAAAATGTGATTCGAGCATCCTACGCAGTGAGAATCATTGATCGTGTACCATTTTCATATAAAAATGCATGTTGTTTTTTAATCTCGTTGTTATCGCAACGCACTATATCGACCTTTTTTTTCTTTCTTTTTTCAGAAACGGAGAGGAGAATTCGCGCCAATAATCGCGAGTTCAACTCACAGTTTAATTATGCGGTAAGATTGAAGTACATTTCCATAGTTCCTGTTTTCGACGCGTTAGTCGAGGCCTGAGAAATGATTTCGGCGATGTGTGATAAATTTTTTTCTTCTTTTTTTTTTTAGAACAACTACATCAAGACGTCCAAGTATTCGGTTCTGACGTTCCTACCATTAAATTTATTCGAGCAATTTCAGCGGCTCGCTAACTTTTACTTCCTATGCCTGCTGGTGCTTCAGATGATCCCCGCTATCTCCTCCTTGACCCCCATCACTACAGCCATACCCCTTATAGGGGTGCTCATGCTCACTGCCATCAAAGATGCTTACGACGATTTTGTAAGTATTGACAAAATTACACGTTTCCATTCGCCGGGTGCCCCGTAATTCGCGGGTACGATCGAAGCCATAAATTCTCGATCAAGCGGAAAATGGCGAGCCAAATATGTCTGCAGGAAGCTACGTTGCCGATGAAAAAAATCGCCCCCTCGAAGATTCGTCGGTTACGAGCAGACGAAAATTTCGTATAAACAAATCTCGGTGTAAATCGAATTTTACTCCGCTCGATCGTTATTTTTGGACCCACAGCAAAGAAATAGTTCTTCCTGAAAATAATCAAAGTCTTCGGAAAAAATCGTGCAAACGTGCGAACAGAGACATTAACGTTTGGATTACATTTACAAGTTCGAGAATTTTTTAAGCTAATAATATAAAAAAAAAAATTATATAAAATTGTTCAAGAAAAATTACGCTTTGTAAAAGAAGCCATTGAACGTTAATAACATTTTCTCCGTGCATGAAGCAGCTCGTCTCTTCGAGGCATAGCGAGTTTAAAAATGCACCTTTTAATACCTTGGCATTGCGAACGGCCAAAATTGTATTCGAATAATATATAACGTTCCTAACAAAACGTTCCATTCTGCAATTGAAATTTTGATCTTCAATCAACGAGTAAACAATTGCATTTATCTTTTATTCGTTGTTCGAAATTCGTGTCTGAATAAAAATTTCGCCCTAATATGTACTGTGGGATATTTTCTCAACCTGCAATGAAAAATTAAAATAACTAGAAGTACGGGGTGTTTCTGTTATCGCGTATTCGATTTGTTTAGTCAGGAAATTCCCCGACAAATGTTAGATTAGTCGAGGAGGAGAAATATTGTTTCACGCTTCTCTAGAATGTTTTGTTCCTGGTGAAAAGAAATGCTAAAAAGAACAGGAAAATTAAGGAACGGTTTCATTCATATAATAAACATTAGCAAAGTAAAAATAACTTCTTCGTTTAAAATGAAGCTCTTCAGCCTCCCTAATCTCACCTCCCCTCAACTTGTGCTTGCAGTCTGCATTCTTTACCACTAACGTTTCTTTCACTGTTATGATTTGCGATCGATGTGAAAGATTACAAATAAATATATTATGAAAATTTTTACTTCAATACTTCCATCCATATTTATGATTTTCTTATAAACGAGGAGTCATACTGCTTTGAATTGTACCGCGAATTACGGGGCAACCTGTATAATAAACAAATGTTCATAAAACGTATTAACTTTTGTTTCGTTTAAATTAATCGTGAGCGTATGAAAATGATTTTTCAGCAACGGCACAGCAGCGACTCGCAAGTTAACAATCGTAAATCGCAAACTTTGCGAGGTACTAGTCTTCGGGAGGAGAAATGGTCGCAAGTTCAAGTAGGCGATGTAATCAGAATGGAGAACGATCAGTTCGTTGCTGCCGACGTTCTTCTTTTATCTACTAGTGAGCCAAACGGTCTTTGTTACATTGAAACTGCAGAATTAGATGGGTTGGTATCTTTTTTATGAAGCTTCTGTTTCTTCTTAATCATCAGAGATTTCGAAACAATCGAATCTAACAATTCGGAGAAACGGCTAGTAAAATAGCAATGCGATTGTGATTGTTCCAGGGAGACGAATTTGAAGTGTCGGCAGTGTTTAGCCGAAACTGCTGAGATGATGGACAACCACGAATTGATTGGTCAATTTGATGGGGAGATTGTTTGCGAAACTCCTAATAATTTGTTAAATAAATTTGATGGTACTCTTACGTGGAAAGGGCGAAAGTAAGTACACGCACTTTTGCTTAAATAAACAGTAATTTGGGTAAACGTACAAGCCAGAAAATAGGGAACGATTTGAGGATAAAAATCATTGCTTTGTACTTAAGTACACCCCTCTTTAGAATTTTTATCCTATGAAATGCAGCTTTTCCAATACCAAAAGATCAGTGATCTCTGGTCTATATAAGCCTTCTAGATTTTGATATGTTTGTTTCGTTCACGTTACAGGTATGCATTGGACAACGACAAAATTATATTACGAGGTTGCGTGCTGAGGAACACGCAATGGTGCTATGGTGTGGTCATCTTTGCAGGCAAGGATACCAAATTGATGCAAAACTCAGGGAAGACCAAATTTAAGAGGACCTCTATAGATAGGCTGCTGAATTTTCTCATTATCGGGATAGTGTGCTTTTTACTTTCTATGTGTTTGTTCTGCATGATCGGATGTGGTATTTGGGAGAGCCTCGTGGGCCGTTATTTCCAAGTGTATCTACCCTGGGACTCGTTGGTGCCTAGCGAGCCCATGGGCGGTGCCACAGTGATCGCTCTACTTGTGTTCTTTTCTTACGCTATTGTATTGAACACAGTGGTGCCAATCAGTTTATATGTGAGTGTGGAAGTTATCAGATTCGTTCAGTCGTTTTTGATTAATTGGGACGAGGAGATGTACCACGCACCTACGAATACACACGCTAAAGCAAGGACTACCACGTTAAACGAAGAGTTGGGGCAAATAGAATATATATTTTCCGATAAAACCGGAACACTAACGCAGAATATTATGACTTTTAACAAGTGTTCTGTAGCGGGAAAATGTTACGGGGACGTTATCGACGAAGTTACCGGGGAAGTCGTCGATTTAAGTGAGGTGAGTCTGTTTATCACTCTATCCGTAACCAGACTCGATGCTGATGATTAGGTACGTTATCACTAAACCGTTTGCCGTACAATGGAATCTATTGTTCTTTTTTTTTTTTATAGCTTTTAATGTTTTGTAAGCATACATATTTTATGTTTATGTTAAATTCTCTGTTATTGCAACGGAATTTATTATTATTATAACGTTCACTGCATCGATAACATTTTAATTTTCTCGATCGTGTTCAGTTAATTGATCAATTCCTAAAAAGACGGAGTAGTGACTATAAGGAAATTTAAAGTTCTCACCAATAATTTAGCGAGACAACCGTATCTTTAACATATAATTTATTTATTGATTCGTTCCATGCTTCTGAAACTAGTCTGATCCAGCAAATCTTGTCTTATAATTATTATTCCGTTAATTTCCGATTTGTTATTAAAGCAATAACGATTTCTGATGGCGCATTAATTCATTCGAACGATGAACCATCAGCGATCCAGCATATTAAACAAAACAGCTCTGTAATAAATGTTCTCTTAAATACATATTTTTAAAATTTATTTTTAAGTCACAGATATTTCTGTTAAATAGAATTAAATCATCAACGTGTGTTAGAATTCGGTGCATCAAGTTCGTTCATTTTACATTTGTCATCAAAAAAGAACGTGTCGATTTTATAGTTTCAATGGCAAGAAACATTTCCCTCGTCTCTTGCAATAAAGTAAAAAAAGAAACATTACTATCGTTTCGTAATTTCTTTTTTGATAACAAAATGGAAATAATTGAATCATTTCACAGTTTGGCCATATTTTGCATAAGTTTTCATGTACATCACTTAGCATGTGTGTGCTGCATGTAGACGGACAAAGCTGCTCAAACACCTACGATGCGATGGAAAAATGGACAAGAATTTGTTCAAGTTTATGCACCAAAAAGTGGTCCAAACGTACGTCTACTGGAACATGTGGATAGGATAACCAGTATAATTCCAGAACCAGGCATCTATGGCAGCCCGATGATTCTACATAAACTTTCAGTACGCATGTTAATAATTAACACACATCTTCCACGAACGAAGAGAATTTTGTGCAGTATTCTGCTCTCATCTGTACTCCTTATACCTCTATGCTTTGCTATCATAAATGAGTAGACGTTATGTACCATATACAGGGTATTTCACCTAACTTGACCACCTTAAATATATCGCTTATTTTGTATGATAGAAAAAAATGTCAGGGGGAGAAAGTATTCTGTTCGAAGGCGCCAATACGGTGATGGATATAATTTTTTTTCCAAGGTCATTTTTTTCGAGATTTCAAGGTCATCGTATTTTTTTTAAATGGAACCACATATTTTCGCTACAACAGTCTTATAGCTTATAAAAAGACGAATCCAACGATGTGCGATATGTTGACCTTCACGTGACCTTTAGCGAAGGAATTATGAAATGTTTGTCAGTAACTTCAGTACGCGTTCGGAGACGGTAAATGAAGGAATTTCAATTTCATTGAAACAGTGTACCGTGTAATTGTTTCTGGTGCTTATAAATAGATATTCATATTCTCCTTTCAACGGTTGAAGTATGTTTACAAGCATTATTATTGTAAGAGGGGAATGACCGAAGCGGGTCAATAGCGCGTTGTCAAAAAGCCGCGACGTACACAACAAGTTGCGGTATCGATAGCAGTGTAATAAGATTCTCCATCATGTACACTACAGCAGAAAAAGTGGAAATGATTTTATGATCGCCGGATCTTACGCCACTTGATTTCTTTCTGTGGGGGCACCTAAAAAATACAGTTTACAATGATATTCCCACAACAGCAGAAAACATGCGACAAAGGATTCTACATGCATGTAGATCAATTACTGTAGAACAACTGAAAAATGTTCAGCAAGAATTTATTTACCGCCTCCAAAAATGTATCCAGGTTCATGGTGCACATTTTGAACACCTTCTAAAATAAACATTTAATTTAAGACTGTTTCAATGAAATTGAAATTCCTTCATTTACCGTCTCCGAACGCGTACTGAAGTTACTGACAAACATTTCATAATTCCTTCGCTAAAGGTCACGTGAAGGTCAACATATCGCACATCGTTGGATTCGTCTTTTTATAAGCTATAAGACTGTTGTAGCGAAAATATGTGGTCCCATTTAAAAAAAATACGATGACCTAGAAATCTCGAAAAAAATGACCTTGGAAAAAAAATTATATCCATCACCGTATTGGCGCCTTCGAACAGAATACTTTCTCCCCTTGACTTTTTTTTTTATCATACAAAATAAGCGATATATTTAAGGTGGTCAAGTTTGGTGAAATACCCTGTAGATACGGTAATCGTCGCTTTAGGGTCCGCTAAACTGAATTTTGACGCTTATATGGGAAGGTAATTTCTAGGAATTCAGCCAAGAGACAGAATGGGTGTGCAGACTCGATCATCAAATGTCTTGATCTATGTTTTTTCTTTTTACTAAGTTGGGAGGAAAAAGAGACTTATCGTCCTTCCACGAAAAGAAGGCACAGCGTGCTTACATCCCCACTCTTGCTGCAGTCCGCTGATTGGCTGTCACCGATCTTCGTCACCGTTTTCGACCAATACCTGTGAGTCGGCAGACTGCAACAGGAGTGGGGATGTAAACACGCTGTGCCTTCTTCTCGCGGAAGGACGATACGATCCGTCGAAATCACGTTCGTCTGACTTGGTTTCTTGCATTTCACGATACTTTAGTTGCGTTGTATCAAGTTTCATTCCCAAGAATTAGCGGAGATAGCGATCGACACCAAAGCGGAGAAAAATACAGATGCTAAAGCGGGGTCTACTGTATCATCTATCTTTGCAAAGTTCACTGAATGTTTTTTTTTGTAAACCACGCACCGATACATACTTTTGTCTTGCAAACCTTTTTTGCACACTCTTCCCTATATTGAATGCATGTTGCATAGACGTTTCACTCTTGTCTGCGAATAGATTCCAAGCATTTCTGAACCGCTTAGTTCTTAAAAATTAATTTTCACGATGCTTCAAGGAATTATAAAATTTATAACATCTCATGTGCCTGCTGACTTACAACAAATCTATTTACGCGGAGGCAAGGTACTTACTTTGAGTTCTAGTACTTCCGTTTCAACATACTGTCTCTTGTCATATTAACGTTATTACGATGCGAATTGAAAATTAATTTTTATGCAACTGGTCGACGTATGGTTACAGACAGTGCCACCGTTGGATTTCTCGTTCAACAAGGATTACGAACCGGAATTCAAGTTCTACGATACCGCGCTGCTCGAAGCCGTGAAGCGGAACAATGAAGATGTTCATAGTTTCTTTCGATTATTGGCGCTTTGTCATACCGTTATGCCGGAAGAAAAAAATGGCAAACTAGAATATCAAGCACAGTCGCCGGACGAGGCTGCTCTTGTGTCTGCCGCCAGAAACTTTGGTTTCGTGTTTAAGGAAAGATCTCCGAATAGTATAACGATCGAAGTTATGGGTAAACGCGAGGTATACGAGTTGCTTTGCATTCTGGATTTTAATAACGTTAGGAAAAGAATGTCTGTAATTTTGAGGAAGGACGGGCAGCTCAGGTTATACTGCAAAGGAGCGGATAATGTTATATACGAACGATTGAAAAAAGGCAGCGAAGACATGATGGCAACGACATTGGACCATCTTAACAAATTCGCTGGTGAGGGCTTAAGAACATTGTGCCTTTCGGTCAGAGATCTGGACGAGCAGTTTTTCAACGATTGGAAACAACGTCATCAAGAGGCTGCCTTGAGCCAGGAAAATAGGGACGACAAATTGGATGCAATTTACGAAGAAATTGAAAAAGATATGACCTTGTTGGGCGCTACCGCCATTGAAGATAAGTTGCAGGACGGCGTACCTCAAACGATCGCTAATTTAGCTCTTGCTGGTATCAAGATTTGGGTATTAACTGGTGATAAACAAGGTAACGATATATGTCAACACTTTGAAAATACATACAGTATAAAGTGTTACTTAGACACAGCATGATATCATGGTATACAACAAAATTATATACTGTTTTGTCGCTAAACAGAAACGGCTATCAATATTGGTTATTCTTGCCAATTGTTGACGGACGACCTTACAGATGTATTTATAGTGGATTCTACTACTTACGATGGCGTCGAAAATCAGTTATCGCGGTACTTGGAAACAATCAAAACAACATCCAGTCATCAAAATCGGCCAACTCTCTCCGTTGTCACATTCAGGTGGGACAAGGAAAGGTCAGGCACATGAAAGAGACGGAGTACAGTCATTAACCTTTTCCATACCTATTTCTGACTAATTAACGCATTTATTTTAAAAGTTTTCACTTTCGTATTGAATGTGGCATCATGTTCTGTGTAACGCTTTTTTTGTCTGGTTATGCCTATGGATTTATAAATATTTAAGATTCAATTCTATGTTTTTGAACATTACGTTCGGACAATGAACCACAAAATTTAAAATGTTTATCATATATGGCGTTATATAAGTCGTGTTGCTGAACATAAACTATGCGTTCTTGATAATGTTCCGATAATGTAATATCGAGTAATTCAAATACAGTTTGGCATGCACTTCACGAGACCATGAAAAGGTATCAATAAATTATATTATACTAGTACCTTATTTTAATCAAATTTGTTATGCATATTATAACATCGATCTTTCTCAAATTTAAATCGAATTAAGTTTCATCGAAATATTCAAATATACGGTCAGAGCTTATATTTGCATGTACATTTTTATATATTTATACATATGGAAATGTTAAAATTTTATCAAATATTCTCGATTCTTTTACACTTGAGAAGAATGTTAAAACCATTTATCTCATGCTTGTCGATTATTCTGTTCTTTTAATGTAGACATTTCAGTAAAGTAGATTAGGTACTAGTCTTTTTCTTGAATATTAAAATTTTTTTTATTTTGTATTTCTTTAATACCCTATGATTTTATATTAACACGAATAGCCCAAACGAATAATGATAATTACCATGTGCTTGATACTCACTCCTTCTCTTTCTGTATGCTTAAAATTAATCTTAGTAATAATAATTAATAACACAACGAGAATGGTGCTTATGTCACGTTATTATACCAGTAGTCCATAATACAGTGCACTGTGTGTATTGTTTATAATTAATGCGCATCATTTTTGTATACAAGAACAAAATAATACAATTAAAAGTTTCCCTTTTTATTATGCAAGTAAAATTAAATATTATGCCTTATTCGCTCGTTATATCGAAACGAGGTTTTCTATATTAAACGTCTTTTGTAAATTTGATAAAAACGATACCCGACTCTGAGAAATTGGAAGCGTTAGGAATGTGTAATTCGTATTGTCCGCTTAAACGAAAATACTTTTTCATTTAAACTTTGTATCCTTTATATGCAGCAGCGATACTGAATACAATCCCAGCAGAGATGAACAAGACGAACACGAAATGGAACAAGCGACAGGATTCGCAGTAGTTATTAACGGGCATTCCTTAGTTCATGCATTGCATCCTCAACTTGAACAACTGTTTCTCGACGTATCAAGCCAATGTAAGTTACTTCGTGATACGTTTCGCTTGTTTTTTTTTCTCATAAATAACAATCTGACGTTACGCGTTGCAATTTTTCAGGCAAAGCTGTGATATGTTGTCGCGTGACACCCTTACAAAAAGCAATGGTTGTCGAATTAATAAAAAAAAATAAAAATGCAGTCACTTTGGCAATCGGTGATGGAGCCAACGATGTCTCGATGATAAAAACAGCTCACATTGGCGTCGGTATCAGTGGTCAGGAAGGATTGCAAGCTGTATTGGCATCCGATTACTCGATAGGGCAGTTTAGGTTTTTGGAAAGATTGCTGCTCGTTCATGGTAGATGGTCCTATTATAGAATGAGCAAGTTTCTTAGATATTTTTTTTACAAGAATTTTGCGTTTACACTATGCCACATCTGGTTTGCCTTTTTCTGTGGATTCAGCGCACAGGTACGGGTCTTCCTATTATCGGTAACTTTGTTCACTAACACCATACTGTAGCAATGTTACGAATATGATGAGTTTAAGGCGAATGTGATTTACAAAATTCCTTTGTAGAGCAGCTAGTTCCAAAGTTGAGTATTGGAGGAACATGATCGTATTTATAATTCTGATTTCTCAACATTCCGCTTAAACTTTGGTTTAACAAAATTATCGTTTCGCGGGCACTTACGAATCTATATTTTCTTGCAGACTGTATTCGATCCTATGTACATTTCTGTCTACAATCTCTTTTATACGTCGTTGCCTGTAATGGCAGTTGGTATCTTCGATCAAGATGTTAATGATAAAAATAGTTTATTGTATCCAAAACTCTACGCACCCGGATTACAAAATTTATTGTTTAACAAGAAGGAATTTTGCTGGAGTGCCATACATGGTTTTTTTGCTAGTTGCGTATTATTTTTAGTTCCGTACGGTAAGTAAAATTAATTTACTTCCGCCGTGTAACTCTATCGAGTATCGCGATCAACTTTTTAAATAATTAACTAAATTGTATCTTTAGGGACGTATAAGGATGGAGTATCACCAAAGGGCTATGTACTTTCTGATCATATGCTACTGGGAAGTGTCGTAGCCACTATATTAGTCATAGTTGTGACTGTTCAAATAGCCCTCGATACGTCGTATTGGACGATTGTTAATCATATCATGGTTTGGGGCTCGCTCATTTGGTATTTTATTTTAGACTATTTCTATAACTTCGTCATAGGCGGTAGCTACGTTGGCAGTCTTACTATGGTACGTTTCTTTGCTGCATTGATACGTGGATATTTACACTCCGGGACAAAAAGATAGCACATCTTACATTCTTTATAGTTTTGTATCAAGAACTGGTTGAAATACACATTTCATGTTGTTACTAGTCTTGGACATGCGTGTACGTACAGCATGGTGAATATATTCGAAAAGTTATTCCTTGGCCCCGCAAAATAAGAAAAACACCATAAAAATGGTCCAATTTTCAAACGACCATAAGTCCTGCAATAGCGAATATATTTCAATGAAACTTTTTTCTGAAGTAGAGCTCATGGGTTCCTACAAGGAAGTATTAGACAACTTGTCTGTAGGGCGTCAAACAAAATTATTAAAAATCAAAAACGAGTTTTTAAGAAAAATCGACAAGGGACAGGTGCCTAAATTTTTCGGTGAAAAAAAAAATTTCAAATCGTTCTGAAAAAATTATTTTCGATTGCGGGGGTCAATTACAATAATCTTTGGTGAATAGACATACCCTCAAAATCCTACACATTTTCGAGAAAAAAATTCAGTATGGGCGGAATTCTAAATGTTAATAACTTCTTAACGAAGCTAAGTTTTTATGTATATGTGCTATCATTTTGTCCCACTAAATTTTGGCAAAAGTACAATTTCCTTTAAATAAAATTTGATGGGGTAGATAAAGTTCAATTTGATTTTACTCATATCCGTTGATAAACCAATTCTGAAATAATGCGCAGGGACAAATTTCGGTTGCAATGTAAAAATAAATTAGAATTATGGAAATCTTAATCTGTGCTATCTTTTTGCCCCGGAGTGTATTACGTGTAACGCTAACGCAGATGTATTCAATTCTAGGCTATGTCCGAAGCAACGTTTTGGTTTACGGCGGTCATTTCGTGTATCATATTGGTAATACCTGTACTGTCGTGGAGATTCTTCTTCATAGATGTTAGGCCAACTTTGTCTGATAGAGTTAGGCTTAAGCAGAGGTTGGCGCAACTACGTTCCCGCCAAAGTCAAGACATACTTCGTACACCGTCTACCAGACGGACGCGACGATCTCTTCGTTCTGGATACGCTTTTGCGCATCAAGAAGGTTTTGGCAGGCTCATTACGTCCGGGAAGATTATGCGTAAATTACCAAACGGTGCAGATTTCAAGTTTGCCATGCCGTTTACGAACAATACCAGCAAACAAGTTAGTGTTGCTACCACGTCACCAAAGGACAATGCATCAAAAAATTCGCACACACTGGATACTATTAACCTATAATCTGGACATTATATTGTAAGTCTTTCCACCATCTATTGAATTTCGGATGAATGGTTTGCTAAGCTACATAGGGTGTTCGGCCAAACCTGGGGAAAATTTTAATGGGAGATTCTAGAAGCCAAAATAAGACGAAAATCAAGAATAGCAATTTGTTGATCGAGGCCTTGTTAAAAAGTTATTAACGTTTAAAGTTCCGCCTGTAGAACGGCAATCTGCGAACAGCTGCGTGCGCATGATAGTGGTTCTCATTCAGCATGAAAAACTCTGCTTACTGACGTATCGACAGTCTTACAGTTTTGTGAATGAGAACTACAGGCGGAAATTTAAACGTTAATAACTTTTTAACGAAACCTCGATCAACAAATTGGTATTCTTGATTTTCGTCTTATCTTGGCCCCTAGAATCTCCCATTAAAATTTTTCCCAGGGGTGGCCGAACACCCTCTATAGCAGCATTATACAACAGAATTACTCAAATTTTTGCAATCGAATTTTCACGTTAAATACCCGAACAGATTTTCTAAATACGATTAGGCATCGAGTTTCGTTTTTTTCTTTTTGTGCAATCTTTTCTCCATCGTACGCGACAATGCAGAAAGCTCCGTGTACATGCATCGCAGTAGATAAAAAACTGTTTACCAGCTTTATTAGATTCAACTCTTTTTGTATTGATGCTTACAAAAATTTAAGTAATCGAATTTCATAAGACAATAAAGTATTAATGGTTTGCGTAAGAAATTCTACACACCTAGTAACTACTGAAGAGTATTGTCACCAAAAATTATTGTTAGTTAATAATCATTTTAATAAGATGCATTTTCTACAAGATCGATCATTGTTCTAGACTCTTACTGAAATACTAATCGTATTTCGTTTACCTCAAAAGTCTACGATTCCGTTAACTTTTGAATTTACATGAAATTTTACGAGTTTGCTCAAAGGCAAAACTTAAAATCTAACTCTCCTTGGATAAATTGTTTATTTCATCGTGTGTAAAAAAAATGTATCAAATAAATTATTCTAATTTGCTGCGTGACGTTCATACATACTATGTTACAAGAGTCTAGAATAACAAACGATCTCGGATATAAAAAATTTATTGAGCTCTTAATAATGATCTCTGACGAACTCTCGAATAGTGCACATGAATAGACATGCACAGGTTGATTTATGATGATACATTTTTACTTCGTACATACAAAGAAACCAGAAAACAAATATGTTTGAAATTTGGAAGGTTAGTAAAACGTCAAAAATCAGCTATTTATTTCCTGTTTATAATTAATTAATTGGCCAATGATTGCAATCAATCAATTTTTGTTACTTTTATTATTGCGTATAAAAGTGTTAGATTAATAAGGTCTATATTAATGACTAATATATTGCTTTTTACGCTATATTTGGGATATTTAAAAATATATGTAGAGATCTATATCAAAGGAATGCAAGTTGAAGTAATGCTTTAAATTCTTCGATCTTTAATTGATTTTCTAGCGTATTCGCTATCTCCAAGAGGATGTTGAAACTAGTTTTATTTAGACTTATAGTCTTTTTTTTATAAGCCAGTTGTTTTACTCTTTAAGTAAACACATATTCTTTATTTAAAAATTGGCATGAAAATATTACACAATAATGAGATAAAATATAATTTGTATGATCATGACACTCCCTGTGTACATACATATGTGTAAAGGTGTCAAAAGATCGTATAATATCCCTACTTGTATTATATACAGTCCTAATATAAACATGGTTACTGTAAAAACATGTTTACATGATATACTATATATAAATACGTAAATAAGGATTATAGTTATGATGATAATTGCCTTTATAAAGTATGAATACAAGAAACAATTAAAATTACTGTATTATAGCATTGACTGTAAATATTTTAAAGAGATATATATTATATATATATATATATATATATATATACATATATATATATATTATATTAAATGTTAAGTATACATTTTTTAAAAGAAAGTAATATATAGGTAGATCAATTTAAAAAGATACGAAAATAGTAGCTATATTATATTATACTACTGCGGATAATGTTTGCCTTGGACTGACTACTGAATATATATATAATATGATAAAATAAAAAAACAGTAGCAACAATGAAAAATGTATTTCTACTTTTAATATTACAATGAATTCTAGGGAGATATAGTCTGCATTGGGAAAGTGTGTTCCACAAAGGACTTTTTTTATTTAAACAGAGACATAGGAATTTATTGCTTTCAAACATTGTGCCTAATCAAGAAGCTACACAGAGTGTTTCACATTGCAATGATTCGTTTATGTTTATGCAATATGGCAGTTGTATTCCCTTCTTTATTGATCATATGTTGATCCTTTGCAGTCGTTGGACACCATGTGAGAACACAAGGAGTTTTCTCTGTAAATCGATGAGGTCCATACGGGCGGGGGACAAGCATAATGACATCATTGCTTTTATCAGACAGAGACATCAAATGTTGCGTCTGCGGGCATTGCAGCTTATATTTATTGTTTATAGAAATTGTACACGTCGCAGGAATTTAATAATACACCGGTCGATTTTCAGAGAAAAGTCCGTATGTCCACACACGGTACCCCCCAACTGCAAATGTTTGTCTCGAACTCTTTGTTATTGCACTTATGTGAATTTATTTTTTTGTTTCCTTCGAATAGAAATGTTTATGTGTGAACTCCGTTTATATCATAATATGTACCGATCCAAAGTCATGAATGCAGAGAAAACAAATTCAAACAGAGGCTGCTGCGTTTTTATCTCCTCCTTATTCAACGCAGAAATGTCGAGAGAAATAGAACAGTGATTTTTATAATTTCAATGAATTCGCGTCTATCCTTACCAAAATATTGGTTTTCTTTCTTCTTTTTCAGAATGAAATTTATGTGTTTCTAGAGTGAGATTTGTCGATCAAGAATTGAGGTATTAACTGAATTTTTGTATAATAAAAGTTGGACTTTCAATAATGATACGAATGGACTGAAGAATAATTTTACAAATATTTATAAAACAAAATTGTGAAATCATCTTCAATATTGGAAGCAAACTGTATCGTGCTAAAAAGTATCCATGTTCGAGAAATTGTGAACATATTCTTCTCTACACTCAAAAAAAAAAAAAGATTCTAGTGACCTAGAAAATGCACCGTCTATATTTTTCGTCTAAACTGATTTATATATACATTTATTTTGTAACACTTCTTGCTAAGTAGTATTTGGAGATGTGATATTATTATTACGGACAGCTATATCATAATGTATGTATTACTTATTTTAAATCCCTAAATGGATATAATTTCATTTTCATTTGCAAATAACATCCTTGTCCTAGAATCGGGATGCCATGATTTTTAAATAATATGAAGTGACATTACCTACGATGTTACATTTATATTAAAAGAAATTCAAATAGTGCGTATTAAAATACAAGCTTCTACCAACTACTTACGTTACTGTAAATTATTTTTAATTTTATAATTTGAGACATTAGAGAATTTATTAGTCTGCGAACGAAATGTACTGATATTGTTTAAAGATCTTGGTAAATATTGACTTAATGTAAAAAATAAGAAATTAAGAAATATAAGGTAGTCATAACATGTTGTTGGTTGCATAAGTTGTTACATATGTTACTTTAAATACTGAATCAAATGTCTAGAAACAAAATGCGAGAGCAAATTGTCTGCTGCATGTGCTCTATAGACTGCGCATCAATTACTGCTTAAAAATATTTGCTTAGGACATAGTATAACTTAAAGGACAAAACTATTGTACTCGTAAACACGTACAATTGTTAAATCTTCATTGCATTTCATGTCCAGTGAATAACCCTTTAAAGCAATTTCAACTACGTTTCCTTCATGGGATACTAATATAAGACAATAATATCAACAATTAAAAAGTATAAAAATGTAATTGATAATATCTACGTCTTGATTTGATATTTCCCATTTAAAATACATTATACTAATTGCGTTTAAATTTGATTTCTTTAACATTTAAATATATGTATATGTATATATATATATAGGGGCGAAAAAATTTTGTTTTTTTTATGATACTATGTCCTATGTACTATTTCTAATATATCCTACTTTTATGTATTGAACAATGCATCCTATCTAAAATCTGAGCCCTACAGGATTAAGGAAAGTTTTACAAGCATGTTAAACATGTAGGGCCATGCAGAAGGGCAAAATAAAAACGCTAATGTTATCGAATACAATGTTCCTTACAAAGTGCACGCAGGATAGGGAGGTAGTGTGTACAAACAAAAAAATCATTAAATCTATTAATTGTTATGTTACATTTAAAGCGGTGGTGACTTTAAATGGATTATGTTATCGAGCAATGTATTAATCAATCAATTGACATTATTTCTTTGCAATTTCTACAGTTGTCACGCTCAAATATATTCAGTTATGTATTAACACATTGTCACAAAACGATAGAAAGAAGTTTTCATTTGTACTTTCAATGAAACACGTCGATACGAAAGAACGATTTACTTTTTGTAAATCGTGCTAAATAATGTTTTCTGGTTTTATACTACACTCTGTGTAATATCAATTTTGTAAATCTAAATATTGCTTTAAGTATATATCGTGTACAGTAAAATCTACTTCTTAAGTGTATTATTTTTTATGTGTAAAGAACTCGCACGAAAAACAGATTAATGTTGTAAAAACAAAAAAAAAAGAAAACAGTAAAATATTAGTACCTTATATGCCATTGAAAAATCGAATTCTGTAAAATTTGTTTTTGTAGAATTTCCTTTTGATCGGATTATGAAAATAGAAGTATATTTTTTCATTTAATCCCGAAATTTTTCTCGCGTATTTGCGTTATCGTTTAAATTTACAATTATAATGGTAACGACGGTTCTGTTGTCTCGCTTGAGCACGGAAAACATCGGTACGTTCTTTTAGGAAAAACGATTGTTGATCACGTATTAAAAACAGTGTTACATAGTTATTACTTATAGTTCAATCTGAATAAGAGGGACCACAGTACAATATGGTAGAAATGAATTTATCATTTATATATTCTAAGATGCTTTAGGAGATTACTTACAGTTAAAAAGAAAATGATTTACTTACTTTCAGGCATTTATACAGCTGTTTTGATTTTTTTTCAAGTAAAAAAAAAAAGAATCCTAGATTGAGATTTGAACCTAATACGGTATTGGGATTTGATTTTATGGTTTACGAATCGTGTAAATCGATCTATCGTACGTTTAACACAGTAATCTTCTAACATATCTTACCTTAAAAATTGTCATGTTTTATTTACATAGAGCCCCCAAGCTTTGCATCTCTATGTCAAGATCTAACGAGAAATACGGGAAAAAGAAAAAAAATATTAAATGTTGCTTCAGTATTTAAATGCACATGTCGTCTTAAGTTGTGCTTTTAGTGTAACTACATGTACAGTATAACAAATTTTGTTACTGTATTATGTGATATATTTAAATATGAGATCTATTCTATTCTTCTAACTTACTCCGAAACAAAATAACATTTTCACGGAGTTCAGAGGTAGCAACTCATGTTGATATGTGCATTAATATAAAATTTATATAATTTGTATCTTTTTTTAAATTGTATTACGTTTTTGTTACCCATCAGTATTGATTAGGTTTATGTATATGTGTAATAGTTACATGTATATTGAAGTCATACACGGATATTAGTAGAAACTAATTAAAAAGGTATGTACAAGTCAGTCATGAACAGTATCCGTATAGGTAACACCGTTTTGCAAGTTCATCAGAGATGAGCGACGCAAAATCATCATCAAATTAAAAAGAGATTATAAAAGAATATACAGGGTGTATCGGTTCAGGTGGTATAACCGTGCATGTGTGGATTCCGTATGAAAAAATAAATCGTAAATATAGAATAATAATGTTTTGTTTATCGTTTCCTTTTCGATAAAATGTTTGAAAATTCTCCATGTACACATGTATCGCTTCCCATCAAACTGATTGTACTATACGTCAGCAGTATTCTGATGGTGTTACGAAGGGTCGTAATTAATACTATATTGTTGCTGGATTTTAATATATAAACGGCGGATAATAAATGTCGAGTCCATATTTGCTTGTCTGCCTAACTTTTTTCTTGCAATTGTTCACGGAGAACAAAGTTGATACAAGGTCATGCAGGACATTATTATTGTTTACACGATCATAAACACAGGAATAAGAGAATCGAATGGCTGGCAAATGTACGCGAATGCAAAAAATTTAATTTTCTTGAAAACGAAGCCGTGAACAAAAAAAATCGTTATTGCACACTTTCGATTTATTTTCTCATAAAGAATTTACACACACCCGATATATTTGCAAAACATATCGTTTATAATCTATACTTTTTCCCACGAAAAGGAAGGGTCGACGGAACAACGCGGATAGAATCGAGAGAAATTTGGGTAATGTTTGTACTTATTATGGGAACGGAATGATTAGCCTTGCTGCTGCAAAAAAAGAAACGCTGCGAAATGCGATTACAGTTTTAATAATTTTGTTATCTGCGAAGTCCACCTCTTTTATGCTACCGAAATTAAATATTTCGACAGTTACGAGATTGTTCACAAATTCAAACGTTTCTTACTAGTTTTTAAGTTAATAAAAGTAATGCAGCATAATATTGTATTTTTCAGATATGTATTATTATTTCAACCTATGACATTTCCGTCCTTTCTCGATTTTCTGTACACACCATGGATCGAACAATGTGCATTAAGGATATGTAATTTATACAATATACAATATCAATATATTTTTATATCCAAAACAAATTTTACACTTAATTTTGATTATTTATGTAATAGTCTTGTAACAAAAATACATTATTGATTCATTATTGTACATGATCTCAGATTTACTGTAAATATTTCTGTCAATGTATCTTACAGTTTCAAATCATTGGTACATTATATATTTATATAAATTAAACCATGTTATTTCTCTCCGATTCTTTCAATTATATACGACAATAGTTCATTGTAAAAATAATAACATTCATAATGGTACTAAATTGTTTTCTATAATTTACAATTAATTCTAATTAAAATTATAGTTAAAACTGTAATCTTTTCGCAAGCGAAGCGCCATCCATCGATTCCAGTAGCTTCCTTTTCAAACTTGGTTTTTCCTCCGGTTGTCGTTTAACGGTCGTTGGAAGGGGTAGTTTAGGTCCAGGAGTCGGTGCTGGCTTATTGCTAAAGTATGGCATCTGAAGAGCCTGATCGCATGTACATCTTTCCAAAGGGTTTACGTTTAGAAAACTAGCGATTAAGTCCAACAGATCATCCCCAGCAGCAGTAAATATATGTTTTAATGGTGTTCCAGGAAATGGTTTGAACTGGATGAAATCTGGTAGTTCCGTCATTCCTGGCCATGTCTCCTCTGTGGGTGTACCCAATGTCTGAAAATCGTACAGATTGAAATAAAAAATAAAACGTAAAACAATAAACATTTTTACTTGTAATTCGTTTTATCGATTGCATCTAATCTTTAATACCTGAAATATTCTAGTGAGCTGATCCAGATCAGATTCCCCAGGTAAAAACGGTACACGTAACAATAGTTCCGCCAATATACAACCAATTGCCCACATATCGATCCCAGTTCCATAAAGCCTTGCGCCATATAACAATTCAGGCGACCTGTACCATCTTGTCACCACTTGATGCGTATTCAATCTATTCGGCGAACCAAAGAATTTGGCCAAACCGAAATCCCCAATTTTCAAAACACCTTCTGCGTTAACAAGTAAATTATTTGGTTTCAGATCCCTATGAAGTATCCAATTGAAGTGAAGGTAATCTAATCCTTGAAGTGTTTGAATCATGTACGCCTTAATGTTCGCAGCAGTTAAAACAATATTGTTATCTTTTATTATTATTTCCAAATCGGTATCCATAAAGTCAAACACCAACGATACGTTCGATTTGTGACCGAAAACATCTAAAATGTTAATAATAAAAGGTGAAGATCGAAACAGAGAAAAATCTTAAATCTTGTAATTAATATATCGCATACCTATCAAACCGATCACATTATCGTGCTTCAGTTCTTGTAACAATTTAATTTCTCTCAGTGCAGTTCTATTTATTCCATCCCTAGCTTCCGCGCGACTTCCAACTTTAATCTAACATTAAGATACGTGAATGACATATTGTGACGTATTAAAAACATTTTCGTTGTTAATACGAAAGTATCTGTCAAACCTTTTTCACAGCAACAATTTTGGACGTTTCGATATCTTTGGCTTTATAAACAGTGGCGAACTAAAATAATATACTTTGGTATATCGGTAACGTTAAAAAGAACGCTGAGTATAAACTAACCTGTCCCTCGCCCAAGAAATCAATTTTCTCATATCTTCGTAATTTTTCAGTCATCTTTACCGATTATATGATCTTTCTACGTTCGAAATTCGTTTAAAATTTTGTTAATTATATGCTTGAAGAAATTTCATATACTGGGCCTATTTTATATCAATTTTGAAGGAACATTTCCTCAAAGAAAATTCAAAACGAAACGTACACCCTTAAAGTATGCAGTGTATCATTTGCTAACCTCGAAATATTTGATAGTTCGCACGTGCTTAGACACGTGTTAATACGTCATTATGTAGATGCTAAAAAAAAATTAAATATATTAGAATTTTATCCAATAAACGTATAAATATTGTGTGAATATATAAACATGACAAATATTACCAATCAATAATAAACCTTACAAAGTTGTATACAAAAGTAAATTAGTAGAGTAAAAACGACGATCTTATTACTGAAAGGAATAATAAGATACTAAAAGAAATGTTATTATTATAGTATTTGAAGTATAAAAATAATAAAATATGATATTATTAGATTATGCGAGCATTATAGAAAATAACAACAATAGTTATACGATTGATCAATTTTCTTTAATATTTGGATAATAACGACTAGTAGAGGTGTTCAACGCACTTTTAAATTACTATCGTGTGTAGTATGTATTTACTCATAAAAACAAAACTATACATTGTAGCTGTGTCCACTTAACCTAATGTTTTATTTCCATATTACATGTACATAGTATTACAGTATTACGATAGGTATTACGATTTCTTTAATAGAAACATACGACATAAAACTTTAATTAAGGGGATAGTAATTGAGTTAATTTATGCTCAAGTAATAAGAACGTACATACGTACTTACGTACGTAATTCGGTCAAAAGCATCTTAGGGGTGATAGTATAATAACTTTCAAAACATTCTTCTTAAATTTTGAAATTTATAAATAAAGATAGAGGTTTTGAGAGGCGCAGTATTTCTTTTCTTAAATTAAGGACATTAAATAATAACATGAAAGAAGAAAAACCTATATTTTTGATAAAGAAATAAAAAGAATTGTGCAATATTATCAAAGTTGACTGTTTGGGTGACAGTAATTGGGTCTTTTACCCTATACTTCTAAGATAATATCCGTTATATTAATTGTCTTGACATTCCATTGTTTTATTTCGACTTTTATACTCGAACGAATGTACAACGAGCCGTACCCGAAGTATTAAATTGTAAAATATGTATATTTATACATATACTTCGTATGCATATTCAGTTGAACTATTTAGTTTTTGTCTAATTTGTTATACATTTTCAACAATATTATTATCATCACTGTTTATAAAAAATAACATAATTTGGGAACTATTACATATTATATTTGGGAAAAACAAAATCGATCAAATATTTCTTCACCAATGAAGATACTTAATAAAAAATCGAAGCTGTAGTACGCTGTAATAAAATTCCTAACCTTATCATAAGTATTACATTTCGTATTTCATATTGTGCGTACTATCGTGTGTTATAATTGAATTCTTTTTTTCGATCAGTTATTATAACACGCGATAAAAATGACTGATAGAGGGAAAGCATAGTAATCGTTGTACCACCGCTGCACGAGCCTCAAACGAGAAAAAGAAATGGTGACAGCGGTTACGATAATGAGGGAGGAAGGAGAGGACTTTGCTATCTAATACCGATTACACTTTCTAAATTTATCGACGTTCACGAGGCGTCTTTTTTTAAATATATATTGTGTATCAACAACGTTGCAAAATTAATGTCCATCAAATCTTCGTACGCAAATTCCGTTGGAACAACGAAAATACATTCCTGGACGCGGTGGACGAAAACCGACAAAGTGTTTCGTCAAATAGAGATTTGGATGGCTCGTGATATTTAATTCGTAAAACAATGTTTCCTTGCGATATACAAATTTGTACATCGACAAATTCGATCGATTTAAATATCAAAGAAAAACTCTGGGAATGGCTTTCGACAAAATGGTGGTGGAAGGCAAGTCAGCATGGAGTAAAGCGATGCTCTTATTTTAATGGGAGATTCTAGAGGTCAAAATAAGACGAAAATCAAGAATACTAATTTCTTGTTGGAGGCTTCGTTAAAAAGTTATTAACGTTTAAAGTTCCGCTCGAAATGAATTTTTTTCTAGAAAGTAGGTAGGAATTCGGGGGTATGTCTATTCACAAAAAATTATTGTAATTGACCGCCGCAACCGAAAATAATTTTTCCAGAACGATTTGAAATTTTTTAATTTTTTCGAAAAATTTTACACATTCTCGAATTTTTTTCTAGAAAGTGGGTAGGATTTCGAGGGTATGTCTATTCACAAAAAATGCTTGTAATTGACCCCTGTAACTAAATATAATTTTTTTTTAGTATGATTTGAAATTTTTTTAATTTCGTCTGAAAATTTCAGTATCTACTCGAATTGTTTTCCTCGAAAGTGGATAGGATTTCAGGGGTATGTGTATTCACCAAAAATGATTGTAATCGAGCCCCGCAGCCAAAAATAATTTTTTCGGAATGATTTGAAATTTTTATTAATAACTTTTTAATAAAGCCTCAGTCGAGAAATTGGTATTCTTGATTCTCGTCTTATTTTGGCCTCTATAATCTCCCATACGCCATATCCCATATGCATACCGAATATCAAAAAACTAAAAAATGGTAAGTCTTATACCTTCATCTATTTTCTGAAACGAGGCTGTTCGTGGGATTCCTATTGAAATATATATAGTATATTTAAAAAATAGGCAAGACTATCCGAGGAAGCTACGCGACACGCTGCGCGGCGGATCTCCAAAGTTGCCGTCACTGTTCAGCAACCGTCCGTCGTAATTAAATTAAACAAACAAGCGTGGCCGGCAGGCTTATCTAACATCAAAGACGAGAAATCGCGTAGGATGAATGGTACACCGCCGTTAAGCCGGCTGCAGTAGTAATCCAGTGCAACGGCGAGCGGTATCGCGCGGAGAGACATGTCACCAGCCGAGACTCTCATCCTTCTGGCGATTGTTCTCGTGTCAGGTAAAACGAAGGCCACGCGAATCCTTGCCACGGTGTCGACAACGGGCACTAAAGTGATCCCCGACGTTTAGTGTGACCGAGTCATTTTCCCTTTTCCTTGTTCACGAATTCCGCGGCGAAGTGCGTCCGTTTTTCTGGCCCGAGGTGCGCGTCCGTCCGTGACGACGGATTTCGTCTTTATCTCAACAAATTTTTGTTTCCCGTGGTTCCAGCGTATTCGTATCCGCAGAACACGCTGCTGAACGATGTGGAGACGGTCATCAAGTCCGTGTTCAAAACTGCCCGTGAACCGGCCACGTTCAATTTGTACACCAGGTACGTATAACGTGGACGTTTCGTTGATCGTCCTAACCCTCAAATTCGAACGAAAATCGCGAGAGGGACCGCGTGTTCGACACTCGAGCTCCGCGTGCTTCCCCTTCTAATAAGAGGCCCACGACACTGGACGGGTGCTTTTCAAGGGGTAAGACCACTGTAAAAAACCCGAAACGAAGCGTATTTTTTTTTGGGTGAATGGAAAAGTCAGAGGATAATGATATTCAAGGATGTTATCAACCAGGTCGTCAAGCGTTAGAAAAAAAAATATTTATTCAAAAATAGTGCAAAATGACGACGCTGGAGCCATTCTCGCGTGGCGTGTTTTGAATTTGAGGCGCTCTGCGGCACGCAGTGTAACTGGCGCTTTGTATCTGGAAAAAAAACAAAAAATTTCAACATTATTTATTGACAAATGATTGCCCCATTTTTTGTACGAAATTGAACTTTCTACTTCAAATGCTCGCTAATCACACAAAAAGTAATGTTTCAAAAATCCCCTACGTATTTCTCTAGCTATACTCATGTAGATTAAGAGAAAGTTTTTTGTTTTTTCACAGATACAAAGTGTCAATTGCACTGTGTGCCGCAGAGTGCCTTAAATTCAAAATGCCCCTTCTCGAGAATGGCTCTTTGAATAAATATTTTTTTTAACACTCAACAACATGGTTAATAACATTCTTCAAAATTATTATCCTCTTATTTTTCCATCCATTTGAACAAAAAATTGCCAACGTGTGGCGGCAAATTCAACTCGATGGGAAGCTTGTAAAATATAAGAACAAGACACCAGCGATTAGAAATATATAATGGAGCTATTTTAGTTTCTATTACAAGTTTACCTTAAAAATTACTTAAATATCGAAAACAAAAGAAAAATTATGAACTGCGTTAAATAGAAATATATAAATGTATACGATCGCAGAAAGTTTGAGATATATTATTTGTACGTAGTAAGATATTAGAAGCTATTACAATATATGATGTAATCAAAGAATATTATTAATCATAATTAACAGAGACGAAATAAGTCGCAGTAGTTTCCTATACATCGTTTTAATACTATTTTAATTAAAGATCGTAATGATATAAACAACACGATATTTTTATTAGAGAAGACAGAGGAAATGTTTGTATCTCTCTTATGTAAAATTCAATTTACGATTTGTTTAACAAATTTTGCTTCGAATAACGAACATTCGTAAATCCTCTTATGCATTTGTGACTATACCATTTGTTTTTTTTTTCATAAACTGTAGTAACGGATCGTTATATAATTTCGTTCGGTTCTGGTTGCCAAAGTTCATCTTCGGATCCATCGGAATCATCATCAGATTTAAATACCACGCGTGTATGTCGTTTTACAGTCGCTCTTACAGATCTCAGATTACATGAACTCGAAAACTTTGAACTTGACGAACTTGGCCTTGAACTCGTATCCGTGGCAGTGTGTCTATTATAATTCCATTTTCTGTATCGAGATAAATCGTAATATAATATAATGTTTACCTATTTTCGCTATTATTGCGTGATATTATTTTACGACGAATTTTAACATAAAAAAAAAAAAAAACATTCAAGGTACCGTATTAAAAATCTTGTGTGTTTTATATAAATCAACAATTATCATAAACTAACATCAATAATTATCTTTGCAGTTATTTGCACCCAAAGGCAAAGGTATCGAAAGACAATTTTTATATCTCAGAAACGATCGAGCTTTGGATCCACGTTTGGCTTTTTTACTCGGTGTGATTTGTACTATCATATAAATGCCGAATGTCTTTTTTCGACATCGTTTGTTCCCACCATTCTTCAAAGCGCAATCGTGCACCTGAGACTGGATAAATTAAAAGCAACCGTACACAAGAAATGGCTATTGCTCATATTTAGAAACGGACTTAACCCCATATACGTCTAACGACAGGACAAAAATTATTACAGCTTATATTGAAAAATTCTCTGGTTGAAAAACACCAAAGAAATAAATATATACGTATCTGGATCTTTTAATCCATAAAACGAGGAACGTCATTGCAAAGAAATATTTAAGTTACCCAAAACTAGATAGTAGATGAGTTCAGGCGGTTTTTTCGTGAACTATTATAATTAGAAAAAAATGAGAGAGGAAAAAGTTGTATGATTTTTTATGATCGATAGAACAGTTTCAATTGTGCATATTTGTATTGTTTCGCGAGAAACGAGGGTGACCTTCAATTTTTTTTTAACGTTGCAAGGTTTGTAACGTTTCGATCTTGGACCAGGAACGTTTCTTTGCCGGTCGATCGAAAAGTCTCGTTCACGTTCGAAAGCGTGAGACGGACAGTTCCCCGCGTCGAAGAAAATTTCGCGCTTCTCCTTGGCAACGTAGCGATCCGTGCTGCGAATTTTTCGCCCGTGCAGAGCGAACCGTTTATCGTCCGCGTTCGTAAACGATGCATCAATTTTTTAAACGATACGTGCAATCAACAAGCCAAGCGAATTCTATTCTCAGCGCTGACGCTCCACTGACTATCATCGATGCGTGAATATCGCGGACGCGCCTCCTTTTCTTTTTCCTTTTTCTTTACCGCCTTTGCTTTACTGCTGACGATCGAGCCGATCGAAGACGGGGGAAAACGAGGCGCCACGCAGTGGCCCGGGATCGACAATTTTAGCGACACTTTTGTCCAGCTATCTCCTGTAAATCTCTTCCAACGATATAATATAACATATTATGTCTTTCCTCGATACCTTTCTCTTGATTCTTTAATATTTTGGGGCCCTAAAAAAAATGTTAACACTGTTTAATCCTTGAATCAGAAGAGAGCAATGATTTAATAATAAATTAACGACGAATTTGTGCGTCGAACGTAAATGTTTTGAACTTTTTTTTAGGACCCTTTTTAGTGGGGGCCCCATAACTGTACGATATCGACGATATAATAAAAAAAAATACAATTTAAGGTAACGGAGCAGTCATGATATAAAGAGAATTTTAAAAAGAAAAGAGAAATTACAAGTTTTTAAATATGTTCATAAATAAGATGGCGTCACTTCCTGTACTCGCCACCAGAGGGGTCGCGTTCTCGCAAGCGCTCGATCGACCCCCCGTTCCTATGTATACGTTCCTTGATCGACTATCCAATATCAAACGAGGTTTGTGAAACTTTTCCCCTCGAGCCCTAACCCAAGGAAAACCACAATAACCACAACCTCATAAACATTACAGACACTAACAAACATTTTAAGTGCAGGTTATAAGGGCTCTAGCCCAGGGTACTTGCACAGAAGAAACATGAGAACGAGATAAAAAAAAAAAAACTATCCAATATCCTTACTGATGAGTCCACTAATTGGTCCACTAGCAAGCTTCTCCCATCAAATTCCACTCAAATGTATATCATCAAGGGCTTTTGCAGTCCTGTAATCACAAAGTTCCCGAAGATAACCTAAACACACATAATTAGAGAATACAGCTACACCAGGAAGTCCCTATGATCCAGAATTTATCAACGGTGGATGATACTACTTTGGGCCCGACCCATCTTTGACTCCAAGTATAATTAATTAATTGCCTCTAAAGACGTCGTTTTCTCTTGGATTTTTTTCGTTCTGGTCGAGTCTATAAATTAACAACACGAACCTGTTACTCACTCTTTCACACCCTGGTACCAGAGTCCTGGAGCACCCACCGTAAACTGGAGTTTAGACCTTTGCTTTTCTTATATATTAAATAACCTCTTAACGCCATGTTGTCCACGAAGCAATTTCTATCGGATCTGTAAATAATAAACAACTTCCTGCTATTCCTTTAACACGTTCACTGCCAGATCAAAACCGTATAATATTCTGCAAAAGTACAATTTTGATTTCAAACCATTGTAAACTACATAACCTAAAATTTGTTTCAGTACTTATTCTTGTAACTTTGTTAAAATTCAGAAATTCTATTCAAATTTATTTCCCTCGACGTCTTAACTTGAGAATTAATTTTTTTAGTATCGTAGTGGTAAATTCTGTCACCCATAAGAAGAATTGTCGTTTTCTATCGCTAAATAATTTGTTCAGTTTCGACGCGACGAAGAACACCCCATCGATTTCGTAACAAGGAAACGTTCGATATCGAATTTAATTTTGTAATTATTCAACAGGGAGAATCCATTCGGCGAGGAGCAATTGTTTTTAAACAATACAGAGGTCCTCTACGCGTCTCACTTCAACGAAAGTCGTCCGACCAAGTTCATCATTCACGGATACAGCGACACCGGAAACGAAGCCTGGGTACGAGGTCTGATAGACGGTACGCAACCACGTCTTTCTTTCTTGGATTCTTTTAACAAATCTCAGCCACGAACAACATTTTTAATTCGTTCATAGACTAACGTGGAATCTTTTCTCGACGAATCTACAATTTCGAATCGCTATTTGTGAATAAGATTCGCTCGATTCTACGTATAATTAGCGTCGAGGAACTCTGTGATAGACGAGGGCAGGCGTAGCGCGAACAAAACGAGGGGCGAGAGGGGGGGGGGGGGAAGCTGACTTTCGAGAGCGCATTTCTAGAAATGTCGACGGCAGAACGAAACGAGCGAAATTTAATTACAATCAGGGTCAATCCGTTTCGGTAAACACGGAATCGACATCGCCAGGTTCAAGGGTCACCGCGATAGCGAGTTAATTGATCATTTAAAAAGTTTTCGCTAGCGCGCGTTCAGCTGCTGACGTAACATTGAGAAGTTTTCATTGCAGAATCACGTTCCGAGACCCTTTAGACGCCCTTCGATTCTCAAATATTAGAATTGTCGCTAACAATTATTTCATTTCATTTCGATTAAATAAAAATTAGTAAAAGGTCATCGAACCGTATACGACTGACCGCGTGAAATTCTTTTTTTTTTATATTTTATCATTACATATATAAAACAGCCTATTTTCTAAATTTTGGAATCGAGCTGTTCCCGAGTCATGGCGGAACAGAAGACGAGCTGTCGGGCGGGGTAAATAAAAGTTCTAAAAATACATTTTTTGGCTCCCGTTATCGTCGAGCAACTCCAATAATATCGACGATTCGGAGAAGAAATAAAATTTTTTAAAAAAAAAAAAAAAAAAAAAAAAAAAATAAAAGATAAGAACACCGACGTGTACAGATTTATTTATACGCGTGGACGATTATTGACACTTCTTCTCTCTGTCGTGCGCGATATCGGTGGTAAATTTACATGGTTCGTAGTAAATATAATTAGAACTACGATGTTTCAGTGAATTTAACCCCGTCAATGCTATCGGCGCCTACAGACGATGTAGTACAGACGACCGCCATAACCTCTCGTACTATGTTACCGGCGCCTATAGGCACTCGGTTTTGTCTTAACGTTGTTATCTATTGTACAAACTAAAGCTATTTTCCTTACCGCGATAAGACAACATTTTCACGCCGGATAACGCGGTGCTATGTTTTTAATTGTTTACTAAAAGATGACTGCACAGAACGGATCCAAAGATTTACTTTGACATTTAAACTTCTCTCGATTAACATTAACTCTTTAATCGTCGAAACCGTGCAGCGTTCGACTTTGATGCTCCAGCGTAAAATCAATGGGTGACCAAACTGCGAAACTTCGTATTTTTATTTGCCTCTTGACGTAAATGAAACTTCAAAAAAATTCTTGGGGGAACCGAAAGCAGAGGGTTCCCAGCCTTTAAAATTTTCAAATTTTCTTGGGGTTAAAATAATTAGAAAATGTTGTGACCGATAGGGGATGATTCTATAAAGGATTCTAAAAAAAAGGAGTAAGAATCTGTTCGTTGGGGGCTTCGTTACCGAGATAATAAAATACAATGTTATTTACTTTTGCACGTAGTGTTGCGATTCCAGAATCTTAAAAAACAGAAAGAGAAAATAATTCTACGTATTTAAAATTAGAAAGTTTCTAACGATTGCTCGTGCTATTGCAGCGTATCTGCTTTACGAGGACGTGAACGTGATCGTCGTGGGATGGGGCACCTTGGCGCTGGATATCTACCCGATAGCAGCGAACAACACGCGACGCGTGGGCGAGTTTTTGGCCGACTTTTTGGAGTTCCTGAACCGCGAGTCGAACCTCGAGTACAAAGACGTCCACATCAGCGGCCACAGTTTGGGCTCGCACGTGGCGGGATTCGCGGGCGCTTATTTGGACGGACGCGTCGGTAGAATAACAGGTGTGCTATCGTTTTCTACTCTGAGCATAAATGCAAACCGATCGACGACAGTGGATAATCGCAACCAGATAGCGTAAAAGTTGGGTTGAACGCTGGTCCCGGAAGGACGCCATTAAACAGCATGGCATACCTTGCGATTGATTACCAGAACGTACTATAGATTTTTGTTTGTTTCTTTATCGGTTCATCGTTCACGATATTATTCGTTTCGTTTTAACGATCACGCGGTATCACGCGCAGGCCTAGATCCGGCGAGTCCCCTGTTCGAGACGATTTCTGGAATTGTTGACCCGGAATTCAGATTAGATCCAACCGATGCGCAATTCGTGGATGTGATTCATACGAGCGGTTCTGCCTTCGGATTCTTGGCACCACTGGGTCATGCTGACTTTTATCCCAACAACGGAAAGTTTCCACAGCCTGGATGCTCGTTCGTGCCGACCACGAGTAAGTTTCATACGCGTACTTTCCTTATTAACATCGGACGATCTACTCGTCGATACTAAAAGTACATCGGGATTAACTAAGATACATTCGAGCGTGACTCCTATACTCTTTGGTAAGACTAATCGACCGATTCTTAGTTTCTATTACTGTACATTTCAATCTTAAATATAAAATGCTTCTGCAGGGGGTTTCGGAGAAAATGAAGCTTGAAAGTATTTCAACCCCCTGCAGGGCGAATAATATAATCGTTAATCAAAATTTAATAACGTCGAATCGTTTGTCAGCTTATTGCAGTCACTCGAGGGCACACCAATTCATGACAGAGAGCATAGGAAGCACGGCTGGATTCAAGGCGAGGACCTGCGATAATTGGGAGAAGTACGAAGATGGACACTGCGATTACAATCCAGTCGTGTTGATGGGAGAGTACGCGTCTACGTCGTAAGATAGTTTCTCTTCTTTCTTCGACAGGATGGTCCAAAAGCTCTGTTGCAAATATATGATCTACACTTTAAAATCACAAACACTTCATTACTCATATCTATAAATATCACATCACTCAATAAGTCTCCGTCTCTGGTCTAACTATGAAAAACAAATTTTTTTTAGAAATTCCACTTTATTCATCAACATACTCTTCTTCAAAAGTAATACATCCATTCCAACGCTCCTCTAACTTTTCGATGCCCTTTATGTAAAACGATTTGTCTTTGCTTTCAAAATAAGCCTCAGTTTCGGCAATCACTTCTTCATTTGAGCCAAATTTCTTTCCCTGGAGCATCTTTTTCGTGTCTGCAAAAAGTCAGTAGTCGCAGGGGGACAAATCTGGAGAGTACGGTGGGTGGGGAAGCAATTGAAAGCGTAATTCGTCCAATTTAACGTGGGTCTATCAGCAATGTTGCCGTATATGTGTCAGACCGGGGACTTATTGAGTGATGTGTTATAAATTCATGTACACTTCACTTGACATTGTATTCAACGATACCATTTCATCGACCCCAATTTGATAGTTTCCTATAAAAAAAGTTCATCCCCTATTCCTCTTCATTTTTCCTAGTCATGTTCCATATTGACCATCTGAAACGAATAAAACACATCTTTAATGAAGAGTAAATGTAAGTGTCTGTTGGATTCCAGCGACTGAGTACTAGACTTTTTCTGACAATTCTTCAATATTGCAAGCTTTATATACTATTGCTAGAGATAGGTAGAGGTAGGGACGATGGTCAAGGGGCAGTGTGACCCATGAAGGGTGCGAGGTTCAGGATGAGTAAGGATTAGAAATCGTGATTAGGACGTTTGGATGAGTAATGTTTGCGATGTGACCGAGTGGTGTTTGTATGGTCGTGTTGGTCATCCAACATGACGACTCCTAGTGTAAACAGCTATGATCTGTGATCTATTTTCAATTACGAACCCAAGTCAATAAGTTTTTATATACTTTGTATTCCATATTAGCTGTAATCTAACAAGTCTTTCAAGTTTCTTGACTCGTTTTCGTAATCACTGAAACCATCCAGTCGGTATATCAAATAGAATGTGATAGATACAATGACTTTGTGTTTATGTTTCCTTGTTACAGGCTGCGGGGAAAATTTTATTTGGCGACGAACGACGCGCCCCCGTTCGCGATAGAGTAAAACGCCTCGCGACGACGATGGGAAACCCCCCGACGTTTGAAACGACCGTGTGGCGGCGATCGTGTTCTCGCGTCATAAAACGATCCGTACTAGTCATTTATAAGTTACTTTATTTATGCAAGCGCGAGCAGTTTTATTCGATGCTTTATTTGAAACAACATACTCCGAACGAGGATCGAAGCTTGCGGCAAGGCGATGCTGTATTATCGTGCACGCCCATAGAAAGTACAAATTATATTAATTAAAATAGCACGGTTAGACAATACCTTTGTTCTCGTTCTCGTGCCCTTGTAAATGAAAAATAAAATAAATGTTTTATTGGCTACCTCGAAACTTGTCCGATACGTTATTCGACGTGCTGAATCTTTTATCGCGAATGCTAAAAGCAACGGCGAGTCACGGCATACGTCGCCCGTTTGATAATCCTACCTACTTGGTTACCTAATAATTCATCCAGCCTGTGATTAATAAAGATAGAAATTACAATACCAAGTCGTAATGCAATATCGATGAAGCGAATTGCGCGACAAATGTCGCGCAAAAAGATCCCCTTGAAGAAATAATTTTTACACGATGAATCGAGCGTACTTGACGTTGCTGTTAATAGTCCAATTATCTGGTATTTTGTGCGTTTATGAGAACGACATTATCCGTGATTACTTCAAGTTCAAGAAGGTGAAGAGGATCGTGGGGTTCTCTTGCGGTGACGTGGAAGGTATGTAATAATATAAGGTGTCACAGTACGTACAGGCTGGGCCAAATTAAGTGTTACAACCTGTTTTACGTGTGTACAATTTGATGTGCAACGATTCTGAAAAAAAAAAACAGCTTGTTACACTTTTTGGAACCATCCTCGTGCAATGTCTTGCGAGAATATCGAATTATTCGGCTGAAACTTCCTCGTGTTTTTACTCTGTACGAGACAGACGACGTTAAGCTCGCTAGAACGTTTAACGATATGTACATCACGTACATTTCGATGGTGGACTTCGTATTCGAGTCTCCGGTGGACCTTAAAAAGCTCTTGAGCGCCGAGTACCATCAGCTGGGCATCTTCTTGGATTGTCGATGCAATAACAGGCGTTACAATAAAATCTTCGTCGAAGTAAGTGATTTATCGCCGACGATATGTTAGAAGATTGAGAATTACAGTTTGACCCGTACGCGAACAGGCAACGAAACATTCCATGTACGACGAAATGCATAAATGGTTGATCTTGGGGTCGAACTTGAGCCACAGTTTGAACATATTACACGACGAATCGTTCACTGTTTCCACTGATATTGTAATCGTTGTACCGTCGGAACGCGACTACGTTCTTTACGACGTGTATAATCCGTGCAAGGATCGAGGAGGACCGACGAACGTGACAGTATTCGGAACCTGGGACGCGGAGAACGGATTGAACATCACTCTGACTCAATCGAAATTTCAGAGAAGATCGAATCTGCATGGAATGAAGCTCAAAGTCGGGATCGTGGTCAGTTTTTGCTGTTTCCTATGGCTAAAACCTGAATCGTTCGTCGATAGTAACGATCAGATATCGTTAAACTCTGCAGATCAATTATACGCCGGAGAACACGTCGCTTCACGATGTAATGATGCAGTACACCAAGAGAGGAAAATATAGCCGTTCGAAATTCTTATATTTGCTCCTAAACCACATGTCGGATCTCTTCAATTTCACGTAAATACAAAGATACAACGAACGCTTTAATTTATCGACGATAAAGATTTTAATTGCATTTGATTTACCATTTTTAGCATGGAGGTCGTGCAAATAAATACACGGAGAAGGTTCGACAATTCCGGCCCGGTTTTCGCGGCTTTTAAAAGGAAAATAGTTGACCTCTCGTCGAGTCCGGTCGCGATGAAAGTCGACAGATTAAATAACGGAGACATAATCGGGCCTGTATGGCCTATACGGTATGCAATTAGTGTTATATACTCTTATATATTCTTTATTTTGCTATAAATACCAAAGATTACACGTTGGTGCTTTTAAAATTTTTGCAAAATTTTATTCACAATATGTTTCCTGAAAGGGAACCGAAAATTTGTCTTTTGCAGGTCGTGTTTTATGTTTCGCACGATTTCGTCGATGAAAGTGAAGCCTGGTCAGTTTCTGAAGCCTCTGTCCGTGAAGGTCTGGTACTCTATACTGACTATGATAGGGATCGTCACAACCATATTAATTCTGCTCATAAGAATGGAAGGGATTCGCAACCCCATGGATATTTACGGGCTCTCTGTTCTACTTACGATAGGAGCATTGTCCCAACAAGGTATCGTTACAGGTCGATTGTCTTTGAAACTAAGCAAGATACGAAATATAAAATCATGTAAATCGAAATTTATTTTGTCCAGGCTCTGCGTTCATCCCGTCTCGCACAGCAGCTCGAATCGCCTTTCTACAAATCTTATTATTTAGCGTATTAATTTTTAATTACTACTCGGCGAGCGTCGTGTCGGACCGTTTGAAGAACAAGGGAGAGAAGATGAACGATTCCCTGATCAGCTTAGTGAAAAGTAACTTGAAACTCGCGGCGGAACCCACGCCTTACATTCGCTCTTTTCTTGAGGTAATATCCCTTTAGAGCAGCTTGCATCTGAAACGTTTCTAACGTATAAAGCAACTGTTTGAGTTTGAATTAGATTAGATTAAAGCGCTAGACTTTTTAGTAGACAGTGAAAGGCTCATCCAGCACTTTATTTTTGAAACTTTCAACTAAAATGCAATCTCTCACCTATTAGGTACCTGACGAAGAAGTGAGATACTTTTACATGAATCGTTGGATGATGATACCAGAATACAACAGATACTTGCCCCTAGAAGAGGGGCTGAACCGCGTGGCGCAAGGAACTTTGGCTTATCATACGATGGTCGATAATGCTTATCCTTACATCGAGCACACCTTCAACGACAGAAGCATTTGCGAGCTCACGGAGGTTCATCTGTTCCGCACCACCTTGGCATTTTACGCCAGGCACAAAAGCCCATTCACCGAATTGTTAAAAATAGGGTAAATCGTCCCATAAACAATCGAATTTTACGTAGAAAGTAACGCAGGAGAGAATTTATCATAAGACTTCAACCCTGAACGCAAGGCCCCCTGAGAGTTCTTCATTAACTATGTTCAATTAACTATTCAGTTGAGTTAAGTTAAGGGAGTTCAAATTAACTATTCAAAGACAAAGAAGACCTCGTTTGTTCTCAAAAAATGGGGCGCTTCATATACGTAGATAGCATTTCATTTGTTTTTCTAATTATAGAAAGATAATACTTGTTTCATTTTTATGCATATTGATATTATAAATCACAGTATCATTTAAAACACAAAGAATTGTAAGTTCTGTTTACCATAGGTAGAATATCAACAAGAACACCAACAAGAGTTTAACTATTCAGTTAAGTTAAGTTAAGGGAGTTCAAATTAACTATTCAAAGACAAAGAAGACTTCTTTTGTTCTCGAAAAATGAGGCGCTTCATATACGTAGATAGCATTTCTTTTGTTTTTCTAATTATAGAAAGATAATACTTGTTTCATTTTTATGCATATTGATATTATAAAACACAGTATCATTTAAAACACAAAGAATTGTAAGTTCTGTTCACCATAAGTAGAATATCAACAAGAGTTTAACTATTCAGTTAAGTTAAGTTAAAAGAGTTCAAATTAACTATTCAAAGACACAAGAAGACTTCTTTTGTTCTTGAAAAATGAGGCGCTTCATATACGTAGATAGCATTTCATTTGTTTTTCTAATTATAGAAAGATAATACTTGTTTCATTTTTATGCATATTGATATTATAAAACACAGTATCATTTAAAACACAAAGAATTGTAAGTTCTGTTCACCATAAGTAGAATATCAACAAGAGTTTAACTATTCAGTTAAGTTAAGTTAAAAGAGTTCAAATTAACTATTCAAAGACACAAGAAGACTTCTTTTGTTCTCGAAAAATGAGGCGCCTTATATACGTAGATAGCATTTCTTTTGTTTTTCTAATTATAGAAAGATAATACTTGTTTCATTTTTATGCACATTGATATTATACATAAAACACAAAGAATTGTAAGTTCTGTTCACCATAAGTAGAATATCAACAGGAATTTTGAGCAACCACTACTGAATAACCAATATGGCGGCCATGACAATTGAAAGTTTCATCGCTCTCTTTGATAAGCCCTATGAAAAGTACTCGAAATATGGAGGCCCTTGGTTGACGATTATGGTTTTTCAGGTTGACGAAAATCCGCAACGTCGGTATTCAAAATCGCGAGTGGAAACGATGGTCGGCTAGAAGACCATACTGTCCGAGCAACCTACTTATCGCTGAACCTCTATCGATTCACGAATCTGCACCGATATTCGTGTTCCTTTGCATTTCTATGGGGTTCTCGTTTCTCATTTGCATCGCGGAGAATCTGTTCTACATGACCGCGCTGACACGGTGAATAAAAATGAAGAAACACGGTTGTCGGGTATCCAAAACTCCCGATCATTAACGTAGCAATCACCGACACGTTGTGTTTTTCAGGATGTTGAGTGGCATGACGGGCAAGAGAAATGTGATGGACATGAACTTGAACATAACGTCTTTGAGAAACGTTAATATGCAGACGCTGAAGAGATTTAACATGTTCAAGGAATGGATGAATTCGCAGACTTCTTAAATTGCGATTGCTTATAGAAATAATACACTTTTATTAACTCCTGAATCATTTATATTTATTACAACTTTTATTACTATTCACGCTGCACTCTTTTTTCTTTTTTTTTTTATTTTACAAATTCATGGAACGTTTCAAAAACAATTGTAGATTTTAATCAAGGCTGAAATAAAAGTTTCTGACGTTCAATACTAAACGTACTATTCTACGATTTATTACGTTGTTTTTAAAATGTAATTAAAATCTGAATTTAATATTGCATACCTTGTTATTTCAGAATTTTATCATTTGACGAGAATTTAAAAATTGTAATTTACGTTTTAATGCTGCTACATAAAGAGAAGTTCTATTCCATGTTTAACACTTTGACGGCCGCTATCACGTGCACGTGATTTTACAGTTTCGGTCACCGATATCATCATCCGTTCGATTTATTATGTTTATTCAGGCTCGTTACAGCATCTCTACATTTATAATTCCTTATAACAATATTTTAACGTATTCATGTGTTTCACTTTGGTCTGCAATGTCAGTATTCATCGAGTTAATTAAAACAAGTTAACCAGAAATTTCAATTCCCATAAATTCATAATTCGGAAGCAGTCTGTAACGAAAGTTGTTGACGATGTAGAAATATATAAAGATACTCTGAATTAATAAAGTCGTTATTTATATGTTTGCTTAACGATGAAACTACGTACAGCTGATATATAAATTCTTTTCCTTAACAACCAATATACTGTAGATTTATGGCACACGTTGGCGAGAAAATTCCGAAATAATCACTGTTCTACCGCGTCGCTGTTGATTAATTACGCATATTGATTACTGATTTCCTCGAAAAGCCGGTAGCTGTTACGATTATCTTCAATCGCGTAATTAATTTTAAAATCATCGCAGTCTGTTTGCATCGTGTCGATAACACCATTAACATTCGATTTATATGAATATTCGTAATATATCAGGGCACTGTTAATACTACAAAGGTCGTGATTAATTTGATAAATACAAACAAAATATTTTTTAAACAGACGCGGGCTTGCCAATATAGAGAGTAGCTCCTAAATGCCGAATTAAATTAGTATTTCCTTAATATACGTTGCAACTGTTTTTTTAAAAATGTATTTATATTTGAAAAAATGTAATTTATTTAAAATAGCTCCATACATTTTATCGATCGTTTTATATTTCGTCTATTAGAGTCAATGTACGTAAATAAATAGAAACAACAATTGAATGTGGGATGCATAAAATGTAACATTGTTGTTCTTGGAAATATATGACACACAGAAATATGGAAAGTGTCTTATATTGTTGTTCAGCGCTACAAGTAATGGCACGATCGTTATTGCGATGGTTCGTCGATACGGAAATTGGCTCGTTTCCCTTGAAACTGTCGCATTCTGACGAGACACGTCCGATGAAATATTAATAGGGCCCCTATAGATTCTTTCCGTGACACGGGCAATTTGCCAAATCGCATGAAATTGTTTGACGATCCGTCTTCGTGTCACGGAATACGAAATGATTTCCTGACGCATTCGATGCATGAATTGATCGCGCATTAAAATAACGCGATCGGGGCGCGCTCGGTGCTCGAGGGCGGCGCGGAAGGTGTACGAAAGTGCATAAGGAGGGCTGTGCTGAAATTTGTGGAAAAATATTAGCGCGATGCACGCTGTTTTCTTTGCTTCGTCGCTGCTCGTCTTTGGCGCGCTTTCGAGCGCGCAAGACAATGTCTTTATTCGCGACTATTTCGTGCACAAAAGGGTAAGGAATGTCGTGGGATTCTCCTGCGGCGATACAATAGGTACGACAATTCTCAGCAAGTTTTCTGAAACGAATTAATATTATAAATCGTCCATTATCGAACGAAAATACAGCGACTGTCACTTAAAATCGTACACCTGGGCGGTTCATATTTTTGTCAATGAAACATGAAAATTGTAGTAAATTATTGAAACTCGTATAGAGTACATATAGTGTAATGTTTCTTTATTTGATACACAACAACATTATAAAAAAAACTTTAATGGTACTCGATAAATTAAATAAAATTTGAGATCATGAAACTTACTCAGTAAAAATCGTACACTGTTGGTAACATTGGAGATCCGGTGAATCCCCAATTGTTTTTTGTGTGACGATGCATAGCAACGATCGAATCTAGCTGATTTAGCAGCATTCTGATTGCTATATGCGTTGTTCTGCTAGAAAATTAACAAAAGAGACATAAAATGTGACAAACTACAGTAGCGGAGCGTGAATTAGTTATTTATCGCTATAAAAACAAAAGAAGTTATAATGAAATTAGTCAAATTATTAATCAAAGTAAAAAAGGACCGTGAAGTGAATAAATTAAAAAGAGGTCTGATAAGAAACTGAATATGAAGGATGAATGATGGATTGTTAGAAAAATTAAGGATGATCCGAGGATTAGTGCTCCAAAATTAGCGTAGGAAGTTGGAAAATATTTAAGTAAGAAAGTAAGTGACTCGACCATTAGCAGAGTATTAAGAAAACAGAAGTATCGTGGTAGAGTTGCTCGAAAGATACGTAAATTTGCAAAATAGGAAGAAGAGGTACGAGTTTGCTGAGAAGTATACAGGGTGTTCGGCCACCCCTGGTAAAAATTTTAATAGAAGATTCTAGAGGCCAAAATAAGACGAAAATCAAGAATACTAATTTGTTGATGGAGGCTTCGTTAAAAAGTTATTTAGAATTTTAGCTATTAAGAATTTTTTTCTAGAAAGTGGGTAGGATTTTGATGGTAGGTCTGTTCATAAAAAATTATTGTAATTAACCCCCGCAACTGAAAATAATTTTTCCAGAACAATTTGAAATTTTTTTTTTCGCCGAAAAAGGGGACTACCCTGTCGATTTTTCTTAAAAATTTGTTTTATATTTTTAATTAATTTGTTTGACGCTCTACAGGAAAGTTGTCTAATACTTTTTTGTAGGTACCCGTGGGCTCTGCTTCAGAGAAAAATTGCAATGAGATATCTTTACTATTGTAGGAGTTATGGCCGTTTGAAGATTGGATCAGTTTTAGGGGTTTTTTTTCACTTTACGGTGCCAAGGAACAATTCTTTCAATATTGTTAGAATTTCTACGTATTCTCCACTAAAATACGCGTTGTTTGCATTTTGAAAAATTAAAATCCTCCAATCCGTTCAGGAGTTATGACATTTTAAAGATTCGCATGGGAAGCATTTCTGTCCTCACATTAGGTTTTCGGTAAAGAATTTTTTTCTCGAAAGTACGTAGGATTTCGGGGTATATCTATTCACCAAAAATGCTTGTAACTGATCCCTGTAACTAAATATAATTTTTTTAGTACGATTTGAAATTTTTTAATTTCGTCTAAAAATTTCAATACCTACTCGAATTTTTTTCTCGAAAGTGCGTAGGATTTTAGTGGTATGTATATTCACAAAAAATGTTTGTAACTGATCCCTGTAACTAAATATAATTTTTTTAGTACGATTTGAAATTTTTTAATTTCGTCTAAAAATTTCAATACCTAATAATTTACTGAGTACTACTAAATATTTTTTTGTATTGTTTTTATGTATCAAATAAAGAAACATTACTCTATATGCCTCTATACGAGTTTCAATAATTTAGTACAATTTTCATGTTTTGTTTGGCTGAACCACTGGGTGTACGATTTTAAGTGACAGTCACTGTATTTCCTATCGTAAAAGGATTACATTTGTAGTTACATGTTGAGCCGAGTGTTTCGATCTTAATGGAAGAACGTTCCAATAAGAAGAGAACTTAAATATTCTAGAAATATATCGAATATACGAACAAATTATTATCTCTAATGTTTGCATGATCAGGCGATTTTAATCTGATGAAAACGTTGAGCACAACGGGAATATTTACGATAATACGGGAACCCACCGTCAAGATCGACTTCCGTAGGTTTTTAAGGAGCGAAACGTGCACGTTAGGCGTCATCGTTGATCTGCGTTGCCTCAACGAAACTGCCGTACGGATTTTCGGCGAAGTAAGAGGGAAACGCGACTAACCAATCCCCGCTTTCGAGACACAATTTTTGTAGCTCTGTTTCACACTGATCGAATCCTTAAATAAAAGTTCCATCCACAAAACTGCTCTCACATTGATCATAATTATGAAAATCACGGAATCTTCACGGTTGTGCTTTCGTAAATACGGGGTGTCCGACCACCCCTGGGAAAAATTTTAATGGGTGATTCTGGGGACCAAAATAAGACAAAAATCAAGAATGCCAATTTGTCGATTGAGACTTCGTTAAAAAGTTATTAACGTTTAAAGCTCCGCCTGTAGAACGGTAATCTACTAACTCAGAAAACTGTAAGGCTGTCGATGCGTCGGTAAGTAGAGTTTTTCATACTGAATGAGAACCACTATTAATTATAAGCAGAACTTTAAACGTTAATAACTTTTCAACGAGGTCTCAATCAACAAATTGGCATTATTGATTTTCGTCTTATTTTTACCTCCCGAATCTCCCATTAAAATTTTTCCCAGGGGTGGTCTAACGCCCTGTATAACGAATTTAATTACTGTATTTATTTTCTCGACCGTGAGGCTTCGTCAGTGAGTAACCCGATGAGCACGGGTTCTTCGATAATTACGAAATAAAATCGCAAATAAATGCTCGTTTAATGGAATTACTGAATCCAATTTAACGTTTCGATGGTAAAAAAAAAGTCGAAAGTTGTGAGTTGGCCATTTCGTGGACGCCCAGATTTTGTTTCTTGAAAGCGTGAAGTATTCGAACGTTCAACGATAGTAGCGAAAAGTAACGCAGACGTTTGCTCATAATTTCATGGTACTCAGAGCTCCAAGTACAGAATGTACGACTACTCGTACAGCTGGCTAGTGTTGGGCTCGAATTACGATTATACTATTCCGATGTTGAACGACACTGCCTACAACATGGTGACGGACCTGGTCGTCGCGATATCAAACAAAACCGACTACGTGCTGTACGACGTGTTCAATCATTGCAAATACCGCGGCGGTGCGTTGAACGTCACGAAACTTGGCACTTGGCGCCACGATTCCGGTTTGAATATCACCCTGACGCAGCCTTTAATTAACAGAAGAGCAAACATGCACGGGATGAGATTAAAAATATCCGGCGTGGTGAGTGTCGTTTGTCGAATTCTCCCTGGAGTTGCTTCTCCTGCCGGATAATCAAAACTTAATTAAACTCGAAAATATACTCGAAAGTATAGGTATTTGTCGCGCAACTTGGCGGGGAAAATTTCGATATTTGTAAATGTAATTGCAAATTAATGTATCACGATTTGTATAATTTAATTAAATTTGTTCGGAGAATTTCATTTAACGTTTAATATTGCGGTGTTGTTATAATTTATTTTAACGTTTAATTAAACAGTAAATATCAGTCGAAGCAACGTACCGGTATTTGTCCGAATAATGAATATTTTTTTTGGAACGTTGCACATATCTTTGTTCAGATACAATACAGACCGAAAGACATGCGCCTCGAGGACTACATGCAGGACATTAACACGAGATCCTTGGACAGCATGCACAAGTTCGTGCACGCTATGATCTTACACACGGGGGATCTTTTTAATTTCAGGTAGGCGGAACGACACGGTTACTTCCGGTGCAGCGTTTGAACTCTGTTTCTCTTTACAGCGTGCATGCCTCCGAAATAATTTACTGGGACAGGCACAGCGTGCACGGTTTGATCTTCGAGTTCCTGCAATCGAATTACATCGATTTCGCCAGTAATCCGAGGATCATGGTGTCCGAGCGACTGGATTACGCCAGCCTTATTGGCGCAGCTTGGCCGATCAGGTAAGAAAATTTTAATATTGTTGCGTCGGGGCGAGGCGTTCCTCGTAGAACTCATTTTAACTCAACAACTCAACGCGACGCTAAAACTGAGAACTGGTAAACGGGAAACTTTATTCACAGATATTTGATAATACGTCTTGTCTCTGTTGAGATGATGTTTATAGATTATTTAAAACTTTATTAATTATCGGACATTCCTTACAATCATCCACCGAACATGTACGCTAAACATGGAAGAAAAGAACAGACTACTGGACGGCGTCCTCGCGTAACAAAAAACCATCTACGATTCCCACCGTCAATTGTTTTATCGATCATGTCCCGTGTCGTTCGCGGGACATCTCACAAGCTAAAACTCTCATTTCATCAGTCTCTACGAGGTCTCTCGTAGTTCTCCTCTTTCAAATCGTTGCCGGTTCCTCTGGCAACCGGAAGGCATGGGATCTCGTTTCCGCTCGTTCTATAACTTTCTTTCTTTTTTTTTTGTTCGTGGGGAAATCCTCATCGACACCCGCGGGTCCACCAGAAGGGAGGGCCAACGGTTAGTGCCGGACTCTTATCGGTTAACCCTTTTAGTGCCGAGCGAAAAACGGGTGCCTATTGTGACGAGTTTGTTATGGTTAGAGAAAAAGCTCATAAAAACCAAACTAAGAATGATATTTATAAAATTCAAAAAGCAGCATATTACGAAATAAAGAAAGAATAAAGTAATGGCAATTGCATTTCAATATTTATTGCAAATCATATAAATAACACGATTATAAAATATGATAAAAAACATAGAAACAATAACTCTTCTACAAACAATATTTACACATAAGAATAATCATTGTTTGATCACAGTTTTATGTAGGTCACGTAGCATAAAGTATAAGTATTTGATTTTCAATGATTTTTTTAATAAATAATCAATTCAAAATATGATGAGGCTTTGTTAAAGAGTTATTAACGTTTAAAGTGGAGCCCGTACTGAATTTTTTTCTCGAAAACGCGCAGGATTTCGAGGGTACGTCTATTCACCAAAAATGATCGTGATTGACTCTCACGACCGAAAATTATTTTTCCAAACCAATTTGAAATTTTTTTTTCCCGTTGAAAAATTTCACACCTTCTCGAATTTTTTTCTAGAAAGTGGGCAGGAATTCAGGGGTATGTGTATTCACCAAACATGATTGAAATTGACCCCCGCAACCGAAAATAATTTTTTCAGAACGATTTGAAATTTTTTTTTCGTCGAAAAATTTAGGCACCTAATTAGATTTTCGGTAAGGAATTTTTTTCTCAAAAATGCGTAGGATTTCGGGGGTATGTGTAATGATAAAAAATGATTGTAATTGACCCCTGTAACTAGATATAATTTTTTTAGTGTGATTTTAAATATTTTAATTTCACCTAAAAATTTCAGTACCTACTCGAATTTTTTTCTCGAAAGTGGGTAGGATTTCGGAGGTATGTGTACTCACCAAACATGATTGAAATTGACCCCCGTAACCGAAAATAATTTTTTCAAAACGATTTGAAATTTTTTTTTCGTCGAAAAATTTAGGCACCTAATTAGATTTTCGGTAAGGAATTTTTTTCTCAAAAATGCGTATGATTTCGGAGGTATGTGTAATGATAAAAAATGCTTGTGACTGATCCCTGTAACTAAATATAATTGTTTTAGTACGATTTGAAATTTTTTAATTTCGTCTAAAAATTTCAATACCTAATCGAATTTTTTTCTCGAAAGTGCGTAGGATTTCAGGGGTATGTCTATTCACCAAAAATGCTTGTAACTGACCCCTGTAACTAAATATAATTTTTTTAGTGTGATTTTAAATATTTTAATTTCACCTAAAAAGTTCAGTACCTACTCGAATTTTTTTCTCGAAAGTGGGTAGGATTTCGGAGGTATGTGTATTCACCAAAAATGATTGTAATTGACCACTGCAATCGAAGATAATTTTTCCAGAGCGGTTTGAAATTTTTTAATTTAATCGTTAATAACTTTTTAACGAGGCCTCGGTCAAGAAACTGATATTCTTCATTTTCGTCTTATTTTGGCCTCTAGAATCTCCTATTAAAATTTTTCCCAGGGTTGGCCGAACACCCTGTATAATATGACGACTCCAGAATACATACATACGTTTCCACCACAAAGTAGTGTCGAGTTGCTGGCTTGCACGAGCGAAAAAGGCTTCTAGGGCAGAGGGTTAAACCCAAAAATAATTTTTTAAATGCTTTTGCAATAAAATTAGACCCTCTATAATGTTTTACAAATTTTTTTTGAGACAGAGCTTTCTCCTAATGCGAAGTATAAGACACCATCGCATACGCAACGATATATCGTCGTTCGGCACTAAAAGGGTTAAAACACCACGGTGAACATTCTCAGGCGCCTGGCGAGGGACCGGGAACTCTAGTGAGTCATCACAGAGTCCCCCGCGGCACCCTGCCTTTTCAGGCCCCTCCCGGTGGGAGGCTCTACTCCCACCGCATTCCCCCTTAACCGCAGACTTTCAGTACTTATTCTTGTAACTTTGTTAAAATTCAGAAATTCTATTCAAATTTATTTCCCTCAACGTCTTCACTTGAGAATTAATTTTTCTAGTATCATAGTGATAAATCCTGTCACCCATATATGGGTGACGTGGCAGTCAAAGTGTTAAGTACGCACAGAGGTGATCATTGTTTCGAATAGGCCCTGTTTCATGCTGCTGTCGACTTCGACCAACAAAATCAAGCTGGAGATCTTCTTAAAGCCGTTCACTCGTCAGACGTGGTACACGTTCGCGGGTTTCGGGATATGCGCCATCTTTGTTATGAAAATAGTGATGAACCGCGAGGGGATCGGCAAGAAAGAAAGATATTCCGGGGCAGTGGTGTTATCGATAGGGATCTTATCTCAGCAAGGTGGGCGTTAAATTAACGATTAACGAGACATTCCTGAATTTAACGATCACTGTGTCCTCGATAGGCGCAAATATCACTCCGAGACGCATAGCCAGCCGCATAGCGCTTTTTCAGTTATCCATACACTGTTGGATCATGTACAATTACTATTCGGCCAGTATAGTCTCTGCTAGATTGAGCGAACCCCTCGATATGATGGAAGATTCCGTGACCGTTCTTGCAGATAGCAATCTAAGGATCGCTGTAGAGGCTGTGCCTTATCTGAATTACTTTCTGTATGTAAGTAACGATTATAATACAATTATTAATAGTTCTGTGGTCAAACGACGATGCACAAATGCGATATTATTAATTTTTCTGAGGACTGTCTTGCATCGGGTTACGCCATCTTTCTTTTAAAATCGATATTTAAATATTCGCGGATGACGTTGATCCTTATCTCGGTTTTTCGAATATTTAGAAGCAGAAAAATGCATTGAATTCTTCCTTTTTTTTGCCAGAAACTGAACTGGGAGTCGGATTACTTCCGAAAAAAGCGTTGGGACCCTCTGCCAGAGTCGAAGAGATACTTGCCGATTGAGGAAGGCATCAGACAAGTCAGCCAGGGTATTTTAGCGTATCATACGGACCCAAATACCGCGTACCCTTACGTGGAGAGGATGTTCGACTCCAATAAGATCTGCGAATTGACGGAGATCCACTTGTTCAAACAATCCGTGATGGGCATGTACGCCAGTCACAACGGACAGTTCATAGAAATGGCGAAAATAGGGTGAGCGTCCCTTTTTCGTTCATCTTTCGTTCCCGAGACACGTTTAACAGCCGCTACCTTTTTTTAGTTTGACGAAGATGTTTAATACCGGCCTTCGGGACCGGCAAATCAAGCATTGGTCGTCGAGAAAACCGCAGTGCCAACCGGACACGTTGTCCACAAGAAGTATCACGATCTACGAGACTGCACCGGCTCTGATTTTATTGACTTTCGGCATGCTCGTGGCTGGGGGTATTTGCATCGCTGAAAATATTATTTATAGGCGTTCGATGAAGTGAGTCAGGACCTCGTTACGTGCACCTCGTTAGTCGCATTCTAGCTTATCGATAAAACCATGTATTTCGCAGAAACAAAGTGGTAAATCGAAAGAAGACGGTCGGCTCCAGAGGAAGCATCATCAGTGGAAACAGCAGAGACAATCTGCTAGATCTGCAACTCTAAACTCAAATAATTTGATTAGTTGAAGGTTTTAGCAATCTATATTGAACTTATCACGCTACTTATTGGTCGAAACGGCTTGAAGTGCATTGTACAGCTATAGTTATAAATTAGCTTTAATCAGCAGGTAACTTTAAATTATTTAGCTTGCCAACCGATTTGACTGTTATCGAATATTCGCGTTAGAAACGAATCGAGAACAGTTGTTTCGATTTCGTCAAGAGCCATCATGTCAAAGCTGACATATTTTCTCATACAAAATGGAAGAAGAATGGGCTTAACTCGCTGAGGGGGGTTGCAGCACGAACGGCCTGCACGCAGTCAGTCGGCAATCGCGAATAAAGAGCAACGATTGCACCGGCGATGCATTTGCGAAGTTTCGTTTCTCTACAATTAATTGTTGCTTCTTGCGCGAACAGCGTCGACTTGATTCGCGATTACTTCGTTTACAAAGAAGTCACCGGTGTAGCTGGATTTTTTTGCGGGGAGTATCAAAGTGAGTCGACAGCATTTTATGAGACTCCCGACGTTCTTGTAATAATTTCGCTTTTTCCAAAGTAAAATTACTCGATTTCCATCGACGAAGTAAACAGTATAGGCGAGCAATCTTTTAGGGGATGTTTCTACACGCCAAAATAAGAGATCCATAAATAAACACTCGAATGCAATAACTAGATTATATCAACTATAAGCTAAATATTAAGTCTACGTAATTGTTCACCCTGAATTTAGTTTAATATTATAAAATTGTTACTTTTAAGATGTGCATTTTAAAATGTATACCAACAATGTTTAAGTAAAAAATCTCATTTTGATTTTTCGTTTTACTATATGCCTGGTACGATTCGTCACTGAAAGTCTACAAATGTTCTAACAAAATAATCAAATCTTTCGATACAGATGATTACCAGATCACCAGGGTTCTCAATGATGCAGGAATTTCGGTCTCGGTGCAACAGTTCGGATCAAACGTCAACGTATCGCGGTTTTTAGACACCAAGTATTGGAAGATAGGTGTGTTTTTAGACCTACGATGCTGGTCAGACGAGGAAACCATAAAAATTTTCAACGAGGTAGAATGAAATCGTCGAATATTGTCCCCGTTTCATTTTATACCAGTGTTTTCCAAAGTAGGGCGACTCCTTGTACCAGGTCTGTAAATATGAAACCGGGAATCCCCCATACGTGGCGCTAGCTGTTAATGTTGTTACCTGCAAACCGTTTCATCGACATTGGAATTGTAGCCTTTCTTTTCAAGGGGTTGTCTTCCAAAATGTTTGGGAACCACTGCTTCCCATTGTTATTGTTTCCACTCGATGATTGATATATGAAAATAAAAAAAACAATTTAGACTTCAGCCAACTACATGTTCAAGCACTTGCACCGATGGTTGATCCTGGGGACAAATATGAGCCACACGGAACAATTGTTGAACGACAGCACGTTCAGCATAATCACCGATTTTGTGGTTTCTATACCAAGAGAAGATGACGATTACATCCTGTACGATGTCTATAATCATTGCAAACATTGTGGTGGCTCGCTGAACGTCACGAAACTCGGTACCTGGACGAGCAGCAGTGGGTTAAACATTACTTTGTGGAACGATACGTTTGCCAGAAGATGGAACTTCCACGAGGCGAAGGTTAAGATCGCTGGCCTAGTGAGTAACACAAGCGAACGTAATTCAAACCAGTGGAGTAATTCGCTTAATAAAAACGCTGTTCTTTACATAGGTTGCTGCTAAACCCAAAGATCAAGATCTAATAGAATACCTCAAAGAAGAGAACAATGTGTTACAAGACAACTGGGTCAAGTTCGGACTCATCCTAGTGTCACACATGGCGGACATGTTCAACTTCACGTAATATTTGTATTCATAGTTTTTAGGATCTGAAAATTCGTTGTTTGATGTTCGTTCATGGAATGTTTTATTTGCAGTCTCGAAGTGTTCGGATTGGACCACTGGGAGAAGAATGATAAGAACGGCCCGCTTATCGCTGGGCTCAAAGAGCGAATTTTTGATTTGGGCTATTGCCCGACGATCTTAACGAAAGAAAGACTTAACTACGCCAATGTAATTCTGCAAGTTTGGCCTGAAAGGTGATTGCAAATGATGATATAAAACGTACTTTTCATATTATGGGACGAAACGTTGCAATTTACAAATAGATGAATTCAATTTAAGAATAATAGCAACACCTTGCATTTTCAATTGCTAATTTTGCGCCAGTTTATTTACAGAACCTGCTTCATGTTTCTTACCGTACCTTCGGTAAAATTGGACATGAAAATTATCTTTAGACCGTTCCAAACAAACGTTTGGTACATTATTTGTTTGTTATCGGTCATTATTATTGTCGTATTATGGATAATCTTGAAGGCAGACAAAGGTTCTGACAATGGAGCGACTGTTCTTATCATGATCGCCGCTATCAGTCAACAAGGTATTTTATTGAAACGAAATAATGAAAAATCCCATTTCATTAATCGTTTTTGTTGTTTCTTGGGCCAATAACAAGACTAGATTTATAATTGAACTTTATATTGTATTTAGTTTTAATATTATAGGTTATTTTATACAGATACAGTATACTTTTACTCTCTGCCATGCGTTCTCACACGCTCCTTGAAAACTGGGGTTCCCCTTTTCTTTGTTCCAACGCTTTTATAAGCTTCCTAGATGGCACCACATATCCACTCCTCTTACATACACAGCTCAGATACAGGAAAAAAAGCATTATATCTCTAACAATTTTTAATGAAACAAATTTTGGAATGTATAGGACTACCATTTACGGGTAATCAATTTTCAACCCGTGCAGCCTTTCTCCAAACCCTGATTTTTGGTTTGCTCGTATACAATTGTTACTCGGCAGCAATAGTGTCAAGTCGATTACGACACGGACCTTTGAACAAAATGAATGATTCTTTATACTCGTTGGTACACAGCAAGTTGAAGCTCGCTGCTAGTCCGGATATATTCTTCAATATCTTAATAAATGTAAATCTCTTTACATTTACAATCTTAAAGCAAATTAGCTCGAAGAGTTATCGATTAATTTCCACAACAAAAATTTGTTTACAGTCTCCCGCAGCAGATGTTCAATATTTTAAAAAATATTGGGAAACTATACCAGAAAAGAAACGGTTTCTACCATTGCAGGAAGGTATAAAAAAGATCATGGATCCTGAATTTGCCTTTCACGTGAATCCCATGGATGCTTATCCTCTTATAGAACGTATGTTCGTCAAGAAAATGATATGTCAGCTCACTGAGGTTCATTTGCTTCGACCTTCTGTATTAGCGCTTTGGTCAAGTCGACACAATGCATTGCACGAAATAACGAAGATAGGGTGAGGGAACTACAAAAGATTTCGTTAAAATTCTACTGGCAATCAGCATGTTTACAGTGGTGCCTTGGAAATTGACCGGTTGCTATCCCCATTAGTTACTGAAAAAAAGAGACGCACATTATTTCCTGGAAGATCTAACCTCCTTCGACTTTGGCCAATATCCAAGACACTACTGTTACGTATAAACTGATCTAACTATCGAATAATTATAGGTTGATCAGAATATCAACTGCCGGAATTCGCAAACGAGAAGAGCAACGTTGGAATTCTAGGACTCCTTACTGCGATGAAGACAAACGTTACGTATCAAGTGTTACGATTCTTGAAGTTATACCGATTCTACTTCTCTTACTTGTTGGTATGTCATTGTCTATTATTATTTGCCTTATAGAAAATATCGTTTTCCGTATATTTCAAACAAAACCGGAAACGAGACAAAAACTCGAGTATACGAATAAATTTCATCGTGAAAACGCAGCACATACCAAAGCGCCTGAAAACAAAAGTGTAATGAAAATAAAAATACCCATCGCAAAAACGCAATTCTTGAATAAAATCGTCCATTAATAAGGTGAACGCAGTTATTTCTTTATTTGCTCTTATTATTGTTGTATTCGCGTGTATATGTATATGGTAACGTAATGTTTTGTGGAAATTACTCGAATAAAACAAACTGCAAAACTTAATCGTACAGTTCTTCCTCTACTGTATAAATTAATTTTATTAAATAGACCAGATTGGTTACATTATTAAAAAAAAATACCGTATGGTATTAATGTACCGTCAAAATAAGTTTACGATAATACAGAACGAGGTGATGATTCATTAGAAATATCTCGATAGCTTTCTGATGATGTAAAATGCATGTACATGGGGCTGGACGATTAAGTTATTTCTTTTTCTTCGACGCTTTATCAGTCGAAGCTGGAGTTGTTCCAGTGAGATCTGCAAGTTGTTTTTTGAGTTTCAGCAATTTCTCCACTTCGGGTAACCATACAGCTTTTTCTTTACTAGCTTTCAATTCACGTACGAGATTACCCTAAAAATCAAATAATAAGCGTACAATAATAATAAAATTAAATACGTAACGCTACTATTAGTAAATTGTTTCGTCGTACTTGTTTAGTAATACTCGACTCCAAATTTGCTATTTCCATTGTGACATCCCCATTTTGTTCAGGTACGGAAACGGCTTCAGGCTTCTCAGTTTTCGATTGCGGCGCCGTAGGAGACTTGTTTCCGTCACCCTTGAGATCAGCAAGTTTTTTCTTTAGGTCTAAAAGAATTTGAACCTCGGGTAGCCAAACACTTGCATTGTGTTTGCCTTTCAACTCTCTGACTTTTTTTCCCTGGAAATACAAAAAGCAAACGTAGTACCTAAATACTATATCGGTACTTCCTATTATTATTATATTATTAGAAAGATTTACCAACCTGTGTTGCTATTGCACTTTCTAAAAATTTTTCGTCATCGCGTACATTATTTGCTTGAGTTTGATTTACTGTTTCCTGTTTACCAGCATATTTCTTTCTCAATGTTTCTATATCTTTATCTTCTATCTTTTTAAACAAAGGGCATGGTTTACCAATTTTATGCCCCGTTTGAAGCACGCTTGTAATAACATCAGGGATATAACCGTAAGTATTATTTTTCAGTCCTAATTGAGATCTTAATTCGCGGGAGATATTGGGCATGAACGGGGATAAAAGAGCAGACAATATACACGCCAAATTACAGCAAATGCCAATTACTGTTTCAGCCCTCTTTCTGCGAACAATAAAAACATAACACGTTATTTTACATTCCAGGCGAGAAACAACGACACTTAATTCTAATAAACAAACGTTATTCACAAGTACTGTAACACAGACCTGTAACGTAATTTAATATATGAAAGTCGATTGACAGTCACAATCAGTTTACAGGACTTATTTTACAGCACAAAATTAAGTCAAGTAACAGCAATCCGCATTGAACAAGGGAACCTAGGAAATGAAGATATTCTAATTTCTAACGCAACAAAATCACTTTATAGTATTAAATTTTTTGCTGTCGATATTAATTTTCAGTTGGTGAAATTTAGAAAATAAAATGGAACAGTAAAATTTGGCGTCTGTCCACGACAAGAGGGCAGAGAGTTTTTATATCCTCGCTCGTTACAATGCCGTGAAGCGAATATTCTCTTTCGCGGTCGAAAGATATCGATCTTCGTCACTGGAGTGACAGTGTAAATACTTTCTACTTTCTTGTTGTGGACGGATAATACAACGATTTTGTAAGTTTTCAAACGATATAAACATTAATTTTTTAAAAATGCAACACAGCATATACAGAAGTATAAATATCCGTCGCACACTGACGTGTTGTACTCTACGATATTACTTACTTATCGTCGTCGGTTCCTTTGATTTTCACCCATGGCTCTTGGGATTGCATGTATTGGTTTCCATGCTTCGAAAATGCTAACAAATGTCTTAAACCGTCTCGAAGTTTAGCCTGTTCCAAAGCCTGCAGATAAGACGATAATTCGCGTTGAGCTAATGCCAATAACATTAAGTCATCGTCTTGAAGTTCCATTGACGGTATTTTGGAGTCAAAATATTTTTCCGTAAATACCAGAGCTCTATTTGTTAAAAATAATTCTTAATAACTGTAATGGAAGAAAGAGGAATTTCGAGAATTAAAATAATTTATCGAGAGGGTCACCTGTTGACAAAGTTTCCAAAATTATTCAGCAACTCGCTATTGTTTTTAGTTGCTAAATCCACCCAATTGAAATTAGAATCTTGAGTTTCGGGCCTAACATATACAAGATAAAATCGCCAAATGTCCGCTGGTATACCCGTCTCTCTAGCATCGGTGCCAAACACGCCAATACCTCTTGATTTAGAAAACTTCGTGTCCTCGTAATTAAGATATTCTGAAACAAGTATGAAACATTAACAGTCAAATGTACAAACTACAAAATACCTAACGATATCAAAATATTTAAATGATATGAATTTCACTTTAGACATACCTGTTGCCATCAAATGTTTTACTAACGTATAACCATCGTCAGCTGCTAATAAACAAGCAGGAAACATTATTACGTGGAATGGAACGTTATCCTTTGCCATAAACTGATATAAATCAACGTTTACGTCTTTAGGTTTCCACCATTGTTCAAACTCCTTGGAATACCTCTTGGTAATACTCATGTAACCGAAAGGCGCATCGAACCAAACGTAAAACACCTTATTTTCAAAACCCTCCGCTGGGACAGGTATTCCCCATTTTAAATCTCTCGTTATACACCGCGGTTTAAGACCATCGCGTAACCAAGGCTTTGCAACTACCCTAGCGACACTTGACCATCCTTTTTCCACAGTTGTAGACCACTTCCTTAACTTATCTTCTAACTGTTAAGAGCGATATTTTGTCATTAAACGACGCTAGCTCATATTACGATGAAATACTTGCCTTAGGTAAGTCCAAGAAGAATTGGTTCGATTGTTTAACAACAGGCCTATTGCTGCACACTTTACATCGCGGAGATATTAAATCTGTTGCGTTCACCAGATGACCACATCCATCACACTGGTCACCGCGTGCATCTTCATATTTGCACCTTGGGCACGTCCCCTCTACAAATCTGTCTGCCAGAAATCTATTGCAAGATTCGCAGAGGAGTTGATCTACCGTTTCGCTTAATATATAACCCTGCGATTTTATTCTTAAAAAAAATGATTGCACGATTCTGAAAAATAATAGAAGAGATTTATACATAATATTACGGTAGTGTCTGTTTTAATTTAGAAAGTTTGGGAGCAACGCAAGAAGAAATAAATTCATTTGTAAATTACAGTTTTAAACAAACATCTTAAAAGAATTACATTCTATAATTCAGCTAGTACAAGATCCATCTTACTCTGTTTGCTCGGGTATAGTAGTACGACCAAAATAATCAAACCCTATGCCAAACCATCGATATACATCATTGTGTATATCGAAAAATTTATCGCATATAGCTTGCGGTGTTGTTCTTTCTTCCAGAGCCTTAGCTTCTGTAGCAGTGCCATATTCATCAGTGCCACTGCAACATCATTTCGGTATTTTAAATTTCGGTAAAGGTAAAGGTGTTTTTATCCAATAAAAGAGGTACAAACCTAATAAAAAGGGTATTGTAATTTCTTTGTCTGCAATATCTAGAAACAAAATGTTAAAAATGTTAAGGGGTATTCTTCCGAATAACAACCGCGGCTGATCAACATGAAATTTATTTATCTAGTATAATATTCATACCATGAAACAAACCTGGTAAAGACATCAGCAGAAAGTACACAACCAATGATATTTCCTAAATGAGGAATATTGTTGACATAGGGCAATGCAGATGTTACTAGAATATTCTTTTCGCCCTTTTTCGGTAACCTGAAAGTAACGTAATTATTTACATTGAAAGTGTACTATAATGTCCTTCAAAGTACTAGTATTTATGTATGTTTAAGCTTACACAGGATAGGAAGAATCCTTCATATTTAAATATGACTTAGAAGACCAATTACTTTTAACATTTTTAAGTTCTTCTTGACTAACTGCTTCAACTTCCTTTTCTTTAGTCGGGCTGATCTGAAATTAATAATGCTGAATTTCTATATAATTGCATCGTATACTGTGTTATTAACAGTTTTATCATACTAAACTTACATCGCTTGCAACTGGTTTAGAGGACCGTGTGTTCATGACTGCAGTGCCAGGAAACCAACATGCAGCTTGAATACTGAGAATTGCTTTAATGCCTCTTTCGAACTTATATTCCTTAAGAGAGTCCTAAACATATAAAATACATATATCACATTAATTGTAAAATCAAAATGTATTTAAAATGTAGTTGCAACAATGACCGAATTGTATACCTGAATAACTGGCAATAATTCAATGTTTGATAACCAATTTTTGATAGCCAAATATTCTTTACATAATTCCTGTCCAAATTCCATAATCAACACAGTAGACCATATAGTTACCCAAATACATGCATCTGCCAATGATAAATCATTGTTATCCTAAAATATTATTAATTTCACCTTAGTTGTATCACGATATTTAAATTCATATTACATTGAATACATTTATACTTTTATATCGAATTACCTGAATTAAGTACATTTTGTCTTTTAGAGCGCTGTTAAATTTTTTCAACAAAGACCACAAATGAGATTTATAGATGTTTCCCGAGCTACCACAACTCCAAGATACTATAGCTGGCTGAAAATTAATTTAAAACTATACTATGAATATTAAATTTATTTCATAAAATCATGCAACACATTTATCTTTATTAACCTGTAATTGCGTAATATCCCATTCTAACCACTTGTTATTAACAATTTGTGAATCTTCAGATGAAGGTAATAAAAACTGCATTGCTGCATTAGTGCTAAAGGTGCTAAATAGCACAGATCCAGATGATAGTTCAATAGTAGGTAAACGACCCAACAAAGTTTCTAAACATAGGATATAAAAACTCATTTTCTTTCAGCTATAATGATATAAAAAAATTATTTAAGAATATGATTAAATAACACATAAATAATAAACATTAAGAGATGTACGTTCAGATATGCAAAAATATATAGAACTTCTTTATTTAAAAAATTGTTCGAATTATCAAAGTGAAACAAATACATGATATTTCATCATAAGGTTTGAAATTGAAAATTATTCCTGCTGAAGAGGTTAGGTTTTCTACCGTTTGGTTGTATCGTTTTCAAAGTAACGGATTGTTGGGCCATTTTAGCTGCGACTATCAATTTTAACGTATTCGGATTGCCTTCGTTCGTTAAGATAATCATTGTTACTAATAAGTTAATAAATATTCAGAATAAATAGATGAAAATATGTTCAGCACACAACCGACACATGTGAGCGACAACTAAATTCAGTCTGGAAACTGATATCGTGGGAATGTGTCACAGCACATTACCAATCTATATTCAATACCTTAGAATCTTTAAAGATTAATAATTTTTTCATTCACTTTATTTGCGTAATAGTTTTCATTGTATATGTTTCCGTAAACATAAGTAATATGCCAATGGAGTTTTTATTAGATTAAAATGCTAGAATATAAAATTTGACAGATATCAAACAACCGTTAGTAAGATCGAAATTCATTCCTGCCATTCTCAGAACGATCGTAAGTTACTCGATATTATTATGTCCTATTTGTAATAATTCTTTATTAATTAAATATATCAAATTAAATCCATGCATTCATCTTTTGTTTTTTGTTAGTCTTGTTCTAGTCTTCTAGATAAAATTTAATAGAAATTTCGGTATATTTAAATAACAGCTCACTATGAGATACTAGTGACCTCTGACGTGAATTCTATATTCTAGAATAAATTATGCTGCATACGCATGTACACTTGAGGCATTGAATCTGTCGCATAATACGAACTATTCCAATTGGCGAAATAATATTGGTGATTCTTAATTGGTAAAATGTGGCGTTTAAATTGTTCGTCATTTCGTCAATTAGAAGCCCTAATAATATATACACTATGACCTCATGCCAAATTCAATGCTCCTGAGCTCCTCCATATACCCATTTTGTATACTTAATTGTTGGATGTAAATTGTGTTATACATAATATTAATTTGTGGTTAATATTATTATTTATATAAATGTCATGTAATTGAGAAAATATATATACATTCTTTACATTTATTACGAAAAGTTCATAGAATGAAATTTTAGTATATTCTAACAATTCATAAAAAAGCGTAAGTTCCGGTTTGAGTGAATACCCTTTATTTCAAATTTTTTTTTCCCGACAATTTCAACAGTGAAATTATTTTTGTATCGTGGACAGTAGCTAATCTGAAAAAAATGATTATTCCATTATTTTGTATTTTTTTAAGTTATTTGTCATTATCGCATAGTGCAGAAAATATTGTATTAATCTTCGCAGATGATTTGGATATATTTCTTGATGGAATGGTAAATGTTAAAGTAAAAGAATATTGACTAAATTGTATAAAAAAAAAAAAAATATTAAAAATAATTATATTCATTTTTAGACTCCAATGAGAAATACATTGGATTTAATTGGAAACAAAGGTGCAATATTTTCGAATTGTGTAAGTTTTTCAAAATATAAAATTGTTATCTGATTTTGTGATAAATGGGTCATTGATTATGATTAATCATAATTAAATATATATTTTCTAACGACTAGTTTGTTGCTTCACCAATTTGTTGCCCAAATCGAGCCTCAATTTTAACCGGAAAATATCAACATAATCATCTAGTAGTAAATAATTCTGTTGCTGGAGGTTGCAATAGCATTTCATGGCAAAATTTTCAAGAACCAAATACATTTGCAGCACATTTAAAACATGAAATGTCATATACAACATTTTATGCCGGAAAATATTTAAACCAGGTATATATGTATATAGCAATAAATTAAAGGTGTCAATTTCTCATAAAGTAAAATGTTAAAATTTTCTGGAATAATTCATAAAGTATGGAGGCAAAAGTGTTGGTGGACCAAATCATATACCAATAGGATGGGATTGGTGGGCTGGTCTTATTGGAAATTCAAAATATTATAATTATTCTTTGTCCATAAATGGAACTGAAACAAAATTTGGTAGTAAACCAAATGAGTACCTTACAGATGTAATTGTAAGTGAAAAATTGCAATTACTTTTCAGGTTTTTCTGTTGTTCTACCTCCAAAATTATATTTTTTCAGGGTGATTTGGCAACAGATTTTATTAAAACTCGTAATTCGAACAGTGAACCATTTCTTATGGTTTTAGCACCACCTGCACCTCACGCACCTTTTACGCCTGCAGCACGGCATAATGACGAATATAAAGGCGTAAAGGCTAAAAGAACACCCAATTTTAATACACTGCCACAAATGGTAGACTATACTTTATTTTTTAGTCTTTCACCTTATTGCGAGATGATATTATGTTGTTAAACTATATTAAAAAATAGGATAAGCATTGGTTAGTGAGAAGAGGACCATCTCCACTTCCTAATAATTTATTACCCGAGTTAGATGACATATACAGAAGAAGATGGGAAACACTGTTAGCTGTCGACGAGCTTGTGACAAACGTATACCAGAATTTGAAGAAACAAAATCTTTTAAACAGTACTTATATCATATTTACATCTGATAATGGATATCATATTGGTAATACATTTATCATTCAATAATAAAGACATACAAATGTAAAATATATATTCATATAGATTTTATATATTGTACTTTGTAGGTCAATTTAGTATGCCAATGGATAAACGTCAACCATATGAATCTGATATTAGAGTTCCATTATTAATAAGAGGGCCTGGAATTGTGCCATCTAAAATTTCTGCTCCTGTTAGTAGTGTTGATCTATTTGCCACAATTTTAGAAATAGCTGGTATAGAACGCCCATCGGATGGAACCTCTTTCTTAAAAAAGACATTGCCAGATGATAGAACGCTTTTAATAGAGTATAGGGGAGAGAGATCTAAAGGTATTCCATCATTGGATTGTCCAAATGATAGTGATCCAAATCTCGCAGTAAGTTCACCACATATGGAAGAAACCTTATGGAGAAATTATATATAAATTATATATACAAAGATTTATAATGTTCATAGATATGTATGAAAGACATGGCATGCAAATGCCAAGATGCTGCAAATAATACCTTTAGTTGTATTCGTCGCGTATCCCCAAAATACAATAATATTTTTTGTATTTTTGAGGATGACAAGGTACTATTAATAATAAATCAGAATGTATTATGTATTATCGCAATAGATTATTGATATTTGTTATTGTTTCACTAGCACTATGTTGAAGCATATAATATAACTACTGACAATTATCAAATGAATAATATTGGATACAGTATGAAGCGTCACCACCGGTACCGATTTAGAAAGTACCTGAAAAGAATGTCTGTTTGTAAAGACGAAGAGTGTGTTCTTACAAATATGAAAAACGTTTATATTTAGAATCTCATTTCTATTAATATTTAGGTAGAAAGTAGTATTCTCAAATACATTGTAATATCTTAAACTGATAATTCCTTTTTTTATTGTTTAATCGATTATATAATCTCTATGTAAGTTGTTTGTATAATAAAGCGTGTTGTGATTTTTCTAAACTATTAATTAAAAAGAAACTTATTTCCTGTTTATTGTATCAATACTGTATTTGATTTATAAAATATGCCCTCTCAAGAAAATATTCATTTATTGACAAAATTTATTTTTCGTTGTATTTATGGAGGTATAAGGATGTGAACCATTAAAAGTTCGAAACGCCAGCGGCCGTCTTACTTCGAATTACTGCATTTATGGAAATCGTGGGCGAAGAATACGCCGCGAATCTGGATATAAGAATAACTCGTCTTGCTTTCCGGGTACCTCAGGCGAACTGTTTTCTTAGCAAATATTTTTATTAAAGCCCCGCGGTTCGAATATCTGAATAGCAATCGCGCCATTGTGGGGAGGTTAGAGAATAAGAAAACCGAAAGAAGAGAGAATACAGAGAAATATGCTTTTAGCATGTTCATAAATTTAATCTATTAAAACGTTTTGAATAATCAAAGGATTTGCAATACAATACTGTTAAAGTTCAATACGAGAAGAAAGAATTGTAATTGTACTATATTTTGAGAAACGCGTGTATTCGTTTTTCTATAATCTTTACTGGTAGAACATTTTTTGCAACAAAATGTATAAATGCTAATTTAAAGGTTTGTGTCTACGTGCGAATACGCTGAATTTTTTCGAACTAAAACGTTGAAACGTTAGGGGCAACTACAAAGTGCCCCGATTCGTTCCTTTCAGTTCCAAAGACCGTAAGAGACATCCTTTCATGTTGTATGAAAGGACGTCGAAATGTTTGTACACTTCACGTTACCCGCTCCATAGACTGCTTAATCGTTTGCACAGATGGTATTTGGGGATAATATAACGTCCACAAAATAATATAAAAAATTATACAGCGAACATGCAAGATGTTATCAATTTTGAAATTAATGTAACTATTCGCGGAATTAATCACAGATGGTACGAAGTTTTTGATAACGCGACGCGTTTAAGAAAGAAAGACAGAGCAAGTGATTTTATCCTACACGGCAATCTCGAGAATATTCTCATACCAAAATTCGTATTAATATTTTCGAATTCGTGAGCAGGGAAATTTGTAAGTCGAGTTATGGTACAGTGCGTTTCTTTCGAAAAGAAGCACAGCTGAGAACGCGGCATTCAAAGAGAATTTTGCGGGCGTTTCGGTAAACAGCATGAATCCCAGCTCGATCGATCGGGTGGAGGATTAACAGACCTCGGTTCGAATTGTGAAGTCGTTACATCGTCACTCAGACGTATAAGTCGGCTTGCGAAAAGTCCTTTTTTTTTTTCTCTCTCTTCATTGATCGCCGGAGCGAGTGATCGCTTCCTTCTGCATTAGGATCAATGGCTTTTGGTGGCTTCCGAGTTTTGAATTCTAGCTTTCCTGCCCCCCGGGGATTCTTGGTTCAGTTCAATTTTTACCGACTCGTGTTCCCGAGGCGAGTCGTAACCAGAGTTGGGCAAATTTTATTCGCGAATAACGATCACGATCACGATTCACTATTACTCGCAACTTCCCCCGTGTTAACAATTTTTAAATTAATTTTCAATGAATTGTGTCGTAAACACTTTCACCGCGGAAACGAGTATAAGCAAGAAATTATGCATTTTGTAGATGACGTTGGTAATCCTATTTTCTTGCAGGAATTTTAAGTCTACTTTTGGAATTATTAAGATTTAACGACACCAGATGACGACAGCAGATGTTATCATCGATCATGAAATAGGTTTTCCTATCTATGGTCTTTAGTGTCTTCGCACTCTTTTTGTTTTAGCCTTACCTTTGTCTCGTCTTTTTCTGTGTATAATAAATCTACTTTGTACGATAAAAATCTGTTACTTTTATTAAGGATATGTCCTACATTTCATCGCAATTGTCGCAACTATTTTCTAGTGACGCAGTAGCAATCAAAGTGACATATCTTTTTATTTGTAATGGTTAAGGTTAGTACTTGATATATACGAAACGGAATAGTGATGATTTAAATAAAATCTTTATTATATATATTTACTCTTGTTACTTATAAAATTTGTAACACAGTTTACTTTCTGTCTTGGTGCTTATTATTCAATCGTTTCATTCCTATTCTTTCACGCGGCAAACCCTAATGCGAAAAATGCTAATTTGCATCAAATACTTCACCGAGCCAGAAAACAACGAGGCACGAAAACAACTTCGTTTGATAAACTTTATCATAACTTTGGTAGGAATCCTTATTAAGATGCGCAAATTAAATTCCGAACGCTCGAAGGGATACTGTATTCAGTTTCTGTTTTTGAGACACGCGTCTCAACCAAGTAGTTAAAAATTATTCTGTTTATTCGAAGAAAGGAAAGTCGTTATGTTTTTACGACACATATCATCACTAGCCGTACCAATAGAAAGAAAAAAAAGGAACAGGAAGCAAGGCGTGTCGATATCCCTAATTGAAGATAATTTCAATCGTATTGAATTTCCCTAGCCGATAATAATAAAAGCACGAAGCTCGCATTACGGGACCGCTTACCCGGACAACAGTAGTCAAATCAAACACGAGGCTATTAACTAGGTCAACATTTTGGGTTTGGGGTACTTATACCCGACTACTTGGTACCTTCGTCGGTGAGCTACACGGCTGCCCATGTACGCCCGTGTATATGTATATTCGCGTACTACGAACCACGGAGTTTCACGGTGAATAAGAGCAAAGCAGCCGTGTCGGACGGTCTTAAATAAATATCTAATGTGTAGGGGTCGCGCGGGCCCCTATTGCCCCCGCCAATATTGTTTTAGGCACGGCCCTTGGCTAGCGAAGATTTGTAACTTGAGAAACGAGCGCCACTCGTGTGCAACGGACAAGATACCAATAGGTGTCGGAAGATCTAGCAGAGTACTTAAGTTTTCGAGATATCCTGTCTACACTTTCGCTCCTGTATCCTCCAACACAAAATCCAGCATCCTGTGAACTACGCAGCTGCCAATTCCTCTATCCTTACGAACAGGTCTGGGTTAGGTCCTGATTTGCATCGAGAGTAAGTACGTAGTTGATGATTACGATTACGATTACGATTACTCCCATGGAAGTTATTTTCTATCGATGAACATGTCGTTGTTCAATAATATATTTTTATGCAAATACAATGGATGCTCCGGTCAAAATAATCGGTATAATTACTTTTAAAGTGTGAGAATAAGTGGAAAATTATTCGTACGAAAAATGTTTGATTCATAGTAGAGGTAGATGTCGCACAGTGCAAACGATTTTTTTATAGGGGCGTTAAATCTCGAAGATTATACTTTATGATGGATGTTCAAAACTTCGATTTGTTGTGTAATTTGCAATATAATTTACAATAATCTCATGATCAGAGTATACATATACGTGCTTTATGTTATAATATTGAGTCGCAATTTAATTTAATATAACAAATGAAGCAACTGAAAATGAAATCTTGAAACTTTAGACACTATTTCGTACTTCAGGTAATCGTGATCCGAGGAATCCCTGTGTAATAAATCGTTTTGTGTAACCACGAACATAAAAAGCTTACGTTAAGAAAGACGATATCTGCCCTAGTTTAAACTTCACTTCGCCCATTATACACACAGGGTGTTCGGCCACCTCTGGGAAAAATTTTAATAGGAGATTCTAGAGACCAAAACAAGAAAATCAAGAATACTAATTTATTGACGGAGGCTTCGTTAAAAAGTTATTGACGTTTAAAGTTCCGCCCGTCCTGAATTTTTTTCTAGGAAATGGGTAAGATTTCGGGGTATGTCTATTCACCAAAAATGGTTGTAACCGACCCCTGTAACTAAATATAATTTTTTTAGTATGATTTGAAATTTTTTAATTTCGTCTAAAAATTTCAGTGCCTGATCGAATTTTTTTCTCGAAAGTAGGTAGGATTTCAGGGGCATGTGTATTCACCGAAAATGATTGTGATTGAGCCCCGCAACCGAAAATAATTTTTTCAGAATTATTTGAAATTTTTTAATAACTTTTTTAACGACGCTTCAGTCAAGAAATTGATATTCTTGATTTTCGTCTTATTTTTCCCAGGGGTGGCCGAACACCCTGTATATGGACTCGCGAAGGGCAGTATTAAAAAATTGGGGTTAATCTTGAGATCTCCTTATTCTCCGTTCTAAATTGAATATGTACTTTTCTTATGAACTCCTTTACCGCGTGTCTATAACCACATTGTTCGTTTTTTAATTTAAATTTTGCGCACATATCTATGTATGCTTCGAGTATGTGTATAATATTGGAGAAAAAGATTGACGCTAGAGCGTCTCTTATTAGCGTTCGAGACGAGGCCACCGCATTAAGTTCCGTTTATAAAAATAGGGCGTATTTTAATAAATGCAAAGCCTGTATTATTTCGCCATGTCTCCTGTCGTTTCTCGTTCCGGCCAGTGTAAGGTTTGCTTCCGCTGGTATTTGTTACGGAAATAATTAATTAACAGCAGAAAGTTCTCTCACTCTTTCGCTCTTTACCTCGCTTTTTCTAACCGTTGCGCCCCTCTTCTACAGTAGACTCGCTCATAACTGCGTTCAGTCGGCTGCTGAACCCCTTTTGCTCATGCAACACTTATTACCGTGTCGCAGCTCGGTTAGCGCGAGCGGGTTAATGAAAAGCTCGAGCAAATATAGAATTTCTCGTAAAAACTACAAATTACTGCTGCGCCGAGTGTACAGCCGCGTGCAACGCACTTCTTCGTTGCCCCCCTCCCCCTCCTCTCCTCCCTTCCACCCTCTTTCTTTTTTTTTTTAACCGTGAAATTATACAACGTATAATACGCGAGAACAGGAAATAATAAAACGTTCCCCCGACGTATTTCGAAGATCGCGTTGGGATTTCATAAAAGAGGAGTAACGTGGAATCGTGCGGGATAGATGAAAACGCATTTTAATATGTCTGTGTATTACGTTCTTT